CAGTACGATGACTTGATACAAAATGTGTTCATAACAACATAGGTACGTACTTAATATGTAAGCTCGTAGAAAGACTTACAAAACAAAAAACACTACTTGAACTGTGGGAAAAATTACTACAACAAAGTAAAGTTATTATTCATTAGTCCAAATCGACTATTTTCTACGCACAACTGAATAGAGTTAATAAAAAAATGGACTCGCTCAGTCACCTTCTAGGAAACAGCTCTTCGGAAGGTGTTTGAAGTTTAACCACAGGTTTCCAATCTAGTGGATATAACTTCATGCTTTTATTAATTTGAATAATGGCACATTCGCAGTACATAAGACTGCAATTTTGTTGTAAAATAACACTTTTACAGCTGTATAAGATGGTACAGTTTACAGGAAGTGTCATTGTCTGTACTTAAATGTGCCTTTTTAAGTTATCTGAGAATTATATCAGTAAGTAATACAGAGTTTCGTGTCAAGAATCAATGTTTAATAACTTCAAGTGGACCACTTTTCATGCATTGGTCAATTAGCACTTCCACCTATTCTCTCATAAATGGTTTTCGGTCATAATCACACCCAACAGTACCTGCTATGGTGAATATTTGACTAAAATCCAACATTCGAAGTTTGGGAACAACTGTTCTTCATTAACGTATGATTCATGCAATCAAATGTGTAAGTTAAGTAACCGCTAATTGTTCCACATAACAGCGAAAAACTGAATATAATCAAACCGGCCCTTGCTCGTAACAGCTATTGGGGCTGATGAAAATCTTTACTTACCTAATTTAAACTCTTACGTGATAACTCAATATTGAATTATACTTTAATATTAAAGTTTATAATGTAGATAAATCAACAAAAATATCGATTATGTTGTAGTCATAGCAGCTAATAACGTATTACATGTCTAGCTTATTTATCAAAATGCAACAAATTTATTCATTACATTTCTAAACCATTATCGTACTTTAAATAACGTAATTGATTGACTAAAGTTATCATAGTACTGTTATTTCTGTGGTATATGTGTATATGTTACCTACGTCTTATTTTATGTAGTTTTATAGGTTTATTTACAAAGATTTTAACACGTTGTACATACTCAATTTCCTCCACGCTAATTAATAGAGGTAATTGTATGTTTCGTCACCAGTTTAATTCCCTACACTTATACTAACACAGAAACAGTAAAACAATAGAAATTCACCGTTAGTTCCCTAGTTTATTATAAAGGCAACTCCATAAACATATCGCACGCCTTCAAAGACTTAAACAAAGCGGTGAATATTTCGAGAAATTTTCGCTTTATGAAACTGTCTTACGTCAAAACGTTTATCTCATGACGGAAGCTGCAAGGTACAACGTAACTTACGATTTACCCGTGATAAGTTAAGGTTACCTATATAATCACACCACGGAAAATCTATGTCACGAATATATAAAGAGATGGCTGCAATAAATTGGCGGTACAATTTGGTAACTGCTCGATGATGTTGCCGAGCGATTATCACGTGGGCAGAATGTAGAGCAAAGATTAGATATTATTTTTAATTTGCACTACACTAGTCGGCTATATTTTAGACCATTAATAATAGTACTGTTCCTACCTGTTGACAAAGCTTTATTCTTCCACGTAAAAATTAGGATTATCGCCGAAAAATGTGTCTTATAAACATATGGTAATGTATAAGTTACATCTATTGCACTGAAATAATCCTATTTCACTTAAATATGGTTCTCAGAAATAAATATCTTTCAAACCAATTGAATGCGGTCGTCCAGCACGCGTTACTTTATCGTGGTCTGTTTTATGTGCATGCGCATTCATTTTAACGCACTAACATTGGTCAAAATGAGCGTTAGAAGAGAACACTAGTGACGAAATCTCATTATTGTCTTTAATAATCACGAATGACAAGGTCGTGGCGCAATTATTTTGTCTTTTGGGTTACTCGCGATCTTTGAAACGCTCTACTTCTCCACGCATGCGTAACTGCATACTCATGCTAACAACTACGTCGGGAGGTGATAAATCTACTCGTAATTATTGTGCTCAAATATAAAGACAGGCTCATTAATTAAAATGCAATCACTATGAAACTTCTAGCCCCATGCTACTCGGTCGAGTAGATCAGATTACAAGTCAATCAACTTTTTGCTGATTCTTTAGTTTGTTTTTCAGCCCAAAAAATGAATTATTTATTGATTTGAATCATACATTCAGTAATTACGTTAAGTAGGTACGGAAGAAAGAAATACTATTTACTAGCTGACCCGGCGAACTTTGTTCCGCCTTAATGGCAATAAATAAGCAGACTTTTTTTATTTCGAACGGGATTAAAGGTATCCTATGTCCTTCTCCTGGCTCTAAACTACCTCCCTAACAATTTTCAGCTAAATCGGTTCAGCCGTTCTTGAGTTATAAGTGGAGTAACTAACACGACTTTCTTTTATATATATAGATTTTAAGTATTTAATTATCTAAACATAAATTACGAACGCAATTAAAATAAAAAGTACAAGTGTGGACGCATTGTTTGTTTAAAATTGTGTATTCAAGAGCTGTTAAAAAGCAAAGTCGTAGCTTCATAGCAAAAAGCTATTTTAATCATCAGTTTTTTCATTTAGGAGTGCACAATAATTTTGTAGCACAAAAATCATGAAGATATTCTTAGTAAATATAGACCAGACACCTTCCTGTTACGAATCTAATCGAATACTCAGTATTTATGAAGCAGTAGCAATATCAATTAAATAACAGCCTATTAGTCGAGAATTTGTAAGTAATAGTACTAAATGCGATTTCTGAGTAACTTCTCTCTAAAAAGCACACGCAATAATCCCTATTTAGTACTTGCGAGCATTAAATAGAAGTACAGAGAAAGTGTATTTGCTACAGAGTAATAGATAATACTGTACTGAATACTGCGTAATCCCAACGATACTGTCTCGCTATAAATAAATCACCGGCTTTTAACATAATCAATTTTGTTCAGTGGATCACTTTCTGTCGATAATATTATGCAGATTGAAGCTGTGATATAATACTTACAAGGGTAAATGATCTTGTATAACAAGGACGTAAACGACGCTTAATAGTGCAGTTTAATTTCAAATATAACTTAATAAATAAATACAATTAAATTCAAAAGCTAAAATACTAAATTGTAACGTTAATATCCGACTATTAATAAAATAAAACAAAAATTAAGATCTAAGATAAATCGAATAATCAAGTTGGTACCTATGTATATTATAGTTAAGTTCACTAGCAAAAATTTCCTCTATGGTGAATATGGTGATATAGTTACCAAGATAAATGGCATTTTGATTTTAGGTTCACAAGTCGCAAAATTGGGTCAAACATAAAAAAATCGTAAAAAATACTGAAGAAAGGTTAAACTGGCCGTGTAAAATAAAAGCAAAAAACACGCTATCAATATTCGATACGAACCGAACAACACGCGCTCTTAGTAACTTTACAGCTCGCAAGACCTTTACAAAATAATGATACGGCATTTTTTCTCGTTTATTCATATTAATGGATGCATCTGCAAAGAGCAAAATAAGCATAATGTTACGAAATATTCAACCTTGAGTGCTTAAAAATTAGTTAAAAGTGGTTTAATTAATTTTATTACTCATTTAACTCGTTACGGTCTTATTTTAAGTAGGTATTTTAATTTGCAATAGAGATAGTCAATCTTCTCATTTAGCTAGCAGTCAGAGCTATAGCGCGCTGTCCTAATCACATTGCAACAATTAAAGCCGACACTAATGTCCGGTGTCTGAATGAAGTTTTTTAGCTTATACTATAACTCGTACATGCTCATAATATCATTCACAAGCAAGTAGTTACGTATTTTTATATAAGTTATTCTTAGCTTAAATCTATTAAGGGTGGATTCGACCAAACAAGAGTAAATATTAATCTACGAATAAATCATCAGCTATTCGACATTTTGACATATTTTCCATACTGAAACTGTCAAAGTGCCAGTTATTATCAGATAAAAGTTTGCTCGAATCAGGCTTTAGTAGTTTAAGCCATAAACCAGTCTTCTAGCTCCTACTAAGCGTGTTTAAACTCTACTAGCCTAAATAAAAACACACACTATTTTATATCAATGCACACACGAAAATCTCCTATGAAGACATTCAAATAATACACAGGTTTTGTTCAAATCTAAATCAAATGTTTCCCAATAGTGTCTCAGATTAATTACATACCTACTCGTATTCACTAATGAAATATTTTCTCACGACAGATCATTACGGATATTAAATAGCACCTGCCTGGTCTAAATTTAATGAGGTCAACTGAAAAGCAATCCTTGCATATTTTCATACCGAGATAGTGTTTTATTGGGGAAATTATCTTATCAAATTATCAATTAATAGGCCCGATGACAATTCATCAATCTATCATACTTTTTGATCTATAAAATTTTCGATTTCTTTTTAGTGCTCTTATGTAGACTTCGTCATATAAACATAAATGTTGTAAAAAATTGTATGTTGAAACACGATGACATACTCATACTCATCTACCAGTCCGTAATATTTAATTTTAGATACATCCTTTAATTAAACCGTATCAATCCTGAAATTGACAATGGTGCAATTTATAGATCAAGCAACAATTTAACAAGGAGTCTTTCTATTTTTGATAAGCACCTTTTTCGCTGATGATTTAATTCTTTTAGCTCAAAGTTTGTTCACACCATTACGAGTATTGTGTAGAAAACCGACTGTAAAACCATGTCCCAGCACGTAAGCGGTGAATTACTTCCTCACGAAGCAAAACATCATAATGATCTACTTTCTTCACACCAATTGTCATTTCAATTTCTCACCTTGAACCAGGCAAAACACTACATAATTTTACGTAATTGCTAAATCATTATCAAACTACCGTATTCTTGCGTACACTGCGCGTACGCGTCGCATCTCGCCGGTTAACTAATATAAAAGTCGAGTGCTTCGCTCTTCGGCAACAGTTGTGTGTGGTCGGTGGGACGAAGCAAACCTTATTCAAACACAAAATGATCGCCAAAGTAAGTGGATTCCGCGACTCGCAATCCCGTTGCGAAGTAGTGAAAGGACCAAAATAGCAGTGATATGGATCGAAACGCAAGGACCTACCAAACGCGGCGTGCTCCAAATTCAAATTTCTCACAAGCGGGAACTTACATTGGATTTTTTTGGGAATTTTGCAGGAATACTCAATTTTCCTGATAGCTCAACTTTACTGTTTTTCTGACAAACGACTTGAACCTGCGTGTTCCTTGTCACGATCGCACAGCGCACGCTAAGTGGATTGCTTAACAATTCCGGTTTATAATTGCAATTAGATCTTATCTTCTTTATTGTACATGCACTTTCCATCATTAGAAAAGTCTGAATGTAGATTTTCTCTTTGTGATTATATTTCAAGTTTGTATGTTGCACTTTACCCTACTTCTAAACAAATACACCGAACATGTAACTTTACACCTAATTTAAAAAAAGTCATTTCAGACAAATGCACGCAGTTTTCGTGGTAAAAGAAAAACACTTCACAAAAGAAAATAATAACCTCTTTATCCCAACACACGCATGTCAACTAATATCGTATTATTTTCAAAGTTTACTTTAACTCTCTTCTTTTGTATTTCTCACAACCCCATTTCATATTCATTCATCTTCGGATTTCTGCTTTTGATTAAACCGTTCCTAGGATTTGTTACAAAGACTCTATCTAACAATAGTATCATCCCCAGGCCGCAGTTATCCTGTCCGTAGTGGCGCTAGCGTCCGCCGGCGTACTTCAGCTGGGCGGCTACCACGGCGGCGAGGCGTACGGCCACGAAGCGGTTGCGTACGCGCCGGTCGCGCACTACGGCGGGCATGAGGACACACATGTCGACTATCACGTGAGTAACACGGTTTAGACTTTTGTAAATCTTGTTGAGATCTATTCGGTACACGTGTACCTGATAGATCGATTACTTCGTGAAAGAAGGAGCTTGCGTCGAAAAAATACCTTTTTACACCACTGCAACTCTTGTACAGCCAAGATGAACAATTTGGATACAACCAGAGAAGGTTCAATAGTCTCGGGGCATACTTACTGTTATGGAACATTCAACAAAGGTAGCATTCGAAATATTTTGTCTAATTCCGTCCATTTCAATACACAGATGACTGAAAAGGTATTGAACCTTTTTAGGATGTTTCCATCAATTTTCCATCTAGGTATCTCTATCACTTAGTATTATATTGGATTACTTACATTTAATGCATAATAAAAAATTATGCAGTGATTTTTTTCTAGTTCAAGTGTATGATCACTGTAGCGTGTAACTCAATTAATTCTGAAAGAACAAAATATTCTTAAAACACGAAAAGTATTAAATACACTAGGCTGTAAAATTATAACATTTCAAATAAATTATGAGAAATATATCAATCATACGAATATTTGCAGTCAATTAATTAGCACTTGAAATCTACCTAATTGAATAAAAACAAACCATTTCCTTATTTTTAAATAAACATTACGATATCAAAATCAATCGTGTTTATAATTCAAGTTGCAATATATTAAAAGCGCATTCGTCCATTACAAAATAATATAATATAATTCGCTGATGAACGCAGCACGTAACTGAAGCCGTTTGTCGTGGTTATGTATAACAAAGATATTATTAACGCTTTACATTTTGAGTAGCCTTCAACGTAAGTAATAAGAACATACATCTGCGGTAATAGTTGCAAAACTCATTATTACAACACTGTCGCACGAAATGTTCACACACTAAAAATTATAAAGAATTCGGTCAAGGACGAATCAAAATCCACCCAAATCAAAGTACCTACATATTGCAATTTGCTTCTAATTAACAGTTACGTTTAGCAAATACTCGTCATATCTCAAACTAGAGTAGGTACCTAGTCGAGCTTGCTTTGTTACCCTAGCTAAGTGTAATGACGTAATACAATAGCAAGTAACTAATTGATAGCTTGCATAAACTCGCGTGTACGATACAACACAATCAAAGCTGTTTCCGGGATACGATACCTATCTGTAGGCTCACAATCCCTCGTTGCCATGTTACGTCACCGTTCTCTATTGTTGAGACCTAAGATGTATTCGCTGGTAATTATTCTTTATGTCTGCTAATTTTGTCGTCATTCGAGATACGTTGTGAATCAATGGAGAGCAAAAAAGGCAGTGCAAATAAACATATCAACAAAATTTGTGTGAGGTGCTAACTTATGAAATTACTGTTTTGTATGGAGAATCAGAAGAAACAATATTGGAGCTAGTAACATTATGGCTATTTTGTTAGCTATCAATAAATGTAGAAAATATTTAGAAGACCATTTTTCAAAAGATACAATAAATAGAAAATTTGAAACAAAGAAAAACATGGAAATGAAATAAATACAATTAGGTTCACAGGAACCACGAACTCATGAATCTGCAAGAAATTTTCGATTTCATAGGTAGTAATCTATCTAATAGATGGGTTTTGACCGTTACGGTACAATGAAAACCTAGCAATCTATTCGGCAAACCTACGATCAAGTTATGCGACCACTCGGCACGTCTATTGTTGCATACAAGGAATTATTGTCCGACCAATAGTCAGACATTTGTCGAAGGACTTATAAATCGCCCACAAATCGTCCTACTTCGAAAATTAAAGAGCGAGCCGTGTAATTTATGAGACCGTTGTCTTTATGATTTTGTCATAAATCGAGCCGCCAGCGATTCGGACCGATTGCATAACGTGATCCCAGTCGTGACTGTGCGGCGATAACACGAGTTCCCAGGGTGTTGCGCCACGCCAGGGACATAATGACTGTCATGAAACCTGGCAAAACGAACTGTTTGCATAAACCAGCGTGCACTCACGACCGCTTTAATAGTAGATGTGTATTAGCGATGTCGACCCAAATGCAGAAGGTTTGCGCAATGCTATTGACAGATTTAAATAATCCAAAGTGGAGCGATTCGAAAGTGCTGGAATGTTGGACCTTCACTCTGATTGATGGGATCGCAATTGCCTATTCGATATTCAAACTGTTTTGGTTTGACTGAATTCAAATTCAGTGTTACCTAATCTGACTGAGATTCATAATCCGGCGGCAGTGCTTCAATTATTACCGTATTTATCTTTAAGTTATTTCAAAATCTGCTACATGTGTGTCAGTGGTTGCAATTGTTTTCTTTTTTTTATATTAGCACAATAGCGATTGTTATCGTTCGTAATTATTGCAATGTTACCAAAATGATTTACTTGTGAGATTCAAAATACTTTTATTTGTTTAAAAACAACCTAATTACTTCATTAGTCATTTACTTTTCTTTATCAAATACGCAATTAAAACACGATTTATCTAGCTGAATTAGCATTTTTATTTATGAGTACCACAATTTCATACTGAACATCAAAAATACCATGTCGACTTATAGCTAAAACTAATCAGTAATGCGCAATTTAATTTGTAATACCTTTGACATTAAAATCGTAACATGTGTCTCGTCCCTCTCAAAAGCAGTTTCAACGACTTCTGAATTAAAAACTCACATGTGTCGTCTATGTTGCTTCCAGGCACACCCCAAATATGACTACTCATACTCCGTGTCGGACCCTCACACCGGAGACCACAAGACCCAGCACGAGGCCAGAGACGGCGACGTGGTGAAGGGCGAGTACTCCCTGCTGCAGCCTGATGGCTCCTTCCGCAAAGTCACCTACACCGCTGATGATCACAATGGGTAAGCACGTCATCCCTATATGCAACTTTAAGACGACTAGGTCAGTAACCCCGCTCTTCGATCTTTTGTTTTCTTCTAATGCGAAGAACTTAACCACTATGCAAGTTATCTCTGTTCCTACCACATCCACTAACAGTCACTCTCAATTTTTGTACACAAATATAACAGCTTAAAATGACGTCTTGTACTTAATTTGATATTGTTTGATGCAGATTTTCCCACATGTGATTGTAGAAATAATATGATGGATGCAGGTCTTGCCATGCAATTATTAGATGTATTTAACAGAAATGTAGGTATATGGCTTTTTTAAATGGCACAGTTGCACTTGATCATTGTGAACCTTTAATCGTGACATTTTGAATGAATAGAATTCAATGTGTGCGTATTGAATGGTAGAGCAAATGTAAAGTTCAGCACATTATCGCATTGTGCTTCCAATGTGACCTACATCGTATGCATTATGTCTCATATCCACGTTCAAAGATTTAGTTGAATGATTTAATCGAGTGACTGGCGCTCGTAACTATTAACCCCAGAAGCAAATGCCATACGCGAACATTTACGTTGGGTTACGAATGTTCATACTATTTTACTAACATACTGAATGTATTGTGTGGTGTGTAGTGTCCATACTGTTCCCTTGGATATGGTAAGAGAATATGCGACCATGACTAGCGTGCAAGTGTGCTAAATACTCTATTTGCCTCTAGTAGATCGGTGAGGATCTGACCTGCAATGAAGACTAACGCCCGTATTCACAAATATGCTTGCTTAAGTAAAGCAGCAAATCGAATGCACAGCGTTGATTCTTCGAGCTCTGTGATTGGTTTGTGTGTGACCCTCTGCGTTCACGCGCACTGTAAGACCTCATAGTAGGATGTTCGTTAATATAGGCGTAAAAGACCTTTAGATAAATAGTAAGAATGTAATGAAAATGGATAGTAAGTAAAATTAACTGAATATAATGTTTCTTGTTCACAGATTCAACGCGGTAGTCCACAACACCGCGCCCCAGCACCCCGAGTACCACTAAGCCCTAGTGCGGGCTCTTGCCACTGCCAACCATGTGATATTATTCCTTTAAAACTTATGTATAGATAGTCTTTAGTCGACATCCATTTTTTATAAGACTGCGGCGAAATAAACTGTTCGAAAAACATTTATTTTGTAATTTATTTTCTATTTTCTGACTTCCTTCTCTACCTTCCTTTCAATTGCAGTACCTACCATCAAACTAACAATCGCTTCAATATTTTTAAAAATATAATACCTTAAACTAAATAAGAAATCTCTATTTGGATAACACAAATATACTACCTACCTATTCACTGAGAATGAGAAAAAAATTAAGAAAAAATCTTTTTAACCGCACGTAACAAATGGTTTTACATTATGCTGCATTTTAAAGACCATAAAGAACGTACTCACCAAGTGGAACCCTTAGCATAGTTATAAAGATTGTTTGTTTAAGCTGCGTATCAACGACACGGTTAGCAGCCTTTGTGTTAACTCGCACACCGTACTTACCTAAAGATTGTTATGAAATACATAGTTTCTTTGCTTTCGGTAACTTTAATGTAAGTAGATCAAAATATGGATCAGATTAAATCTGTTACTTGCCTGTAGATATACCTAGTTTCAAACATCCTATCTCTCATCTAGAAGAAGAAAGAGGCAGAACATATAGCGATTTTATTAATCAAAGAAAAATATTGAATTAATTTAATAATACTACATTTATTGGTTGAAAGAGCATGTAACATAACCAGCCGACTATAAAAGATACATATGTCCGTACTTGATAATCATCATCATCATCTCAGCCATAGGACGACCACTGCTGAAAGTAGGCCTCCCCCAATGTTACCCGGTTGGTAGCGGCCTGCGTCCAGCGCTTTCCTACTACCTTTATGATGTCGTCGGTCCACCTTGTGGGTGGACGTCCTACGCTGCGTTTTCCGGTACGCGGCCTCCACTCCAGAACCTTATTGCTGCCCCTTCGGCCGTCAGTTCTACCCATTGCCACTTCAGCTACTTGCTCAGTACTTGCTAATACATATGTAATATAAATGCGAAAGAAACTTTCCGTTTAACTGTTACCTTTTCAAGCTTAAACCAATGAACCGATTTAGATGAAATTGGTAGAGAGATAGTTCAGGACCCAGGGGAAAACATACGATAGTTTTGTCCCGTTTTTTTCGGTGTCAGACCGGCGACGCTACAAGAAAAAACTAGTAATTGCGTCACAAACCAAAATTAAGCTTTTTCATGCCCAAATGCCATTACTTAATTCAAACGAGGTCCAATGTTGTTCAAAAAGTAATAAGAATGGGATATTTATAGCCATTACAAAAATCTGAAAAAAATTGGGTAGGCAGGTAGCTTAATTCTTCACTAATGAAACTGGTAAAAAAATCACTTAAGTTCACCGTAGCGTTCACCTGACATTCACCTGAACACGACCAGCAGCCATAGGTCCACTGCTGAATATAGGAATCCCTCGATTATTTTCAGATTAACACTATCTTTACTATACTTAAGTTTGTCACGATAAATAAAAGTCTCATAAAAAATAGCGTCACATAATTAACAATTAATGTACCTAATTTATACGATACAAATAAGAAGCTTAGTGCAATTTAAAACAACAAGCAGAAAAAAAGATTAACAGTATCTTCATTAGGTAATCGTTACAGTAAGTAATTAGTAATAACACTCACAACAGTCTTGAGACAGCATCGGAGAAATATTGCAGGAAGTAAGTATATTTCAAGGATGCCAACACCTCATCTAAGATAATTTAAATTTGAAAGAGACACCTTGTCACGTAGCTCTTGTTTATTTTACATACTCTGAAAAAATAATAATTGCGTAAAATCTTGTCGCTCAAAAAGTATTTTATTATAATTATACTAGCGACCCGCCCTGACTTCGGACGGGTGCTAAGTATACTTAAAAAAACCTTTCTCTTGAATCACTTTTCCTATTGGAAAAAAACGCTAACAAATTATTGTAGAAAAAATATGCTTGTTTGTAAGTAATTACATAAATACTTTCCACACCTACTGAACCAATCCAAATATCAATATTAATTCACAATTATTTAATACCTTCTACCTAGTACACAAAGTGAGAATTATACACCTATCTGCTCAATGGATGGTATATAGAGATCTTCCTAGTCTAGCTAACAGCAGCTGGGTAAAAAAGCGGAAAGCGAGCTTTGTGAAACTTCGTAGATATGTAGGTACGTCTAGCAGTGCCATTGCCTGAAAGAATACTCATACTAGTCGAAACATTTAACAAAGTTCACTCCATGGTGAATAGGTATAAAGTAATGTGAGTAGAGTTGCGGTAAAATACTATAAGTTTGTTGCATGTTTTAAAAAACAAAGCAAAATTCTCGTGCGATATTAAACTTCGTACTTCGTCTTCGTAACTTCACTTGAATCGAATTAATTAATGGATAACAATGACATTATGAATTTTGTACATTAAAAGTACTATACTAAAGTATTAAATTTTTATTTTTCCTCATAGTAGACTAGTAGTACAAAACACTGAACTGAACAATAGCTTATTATTTTTTTCGCAGCACAATCAGTAAAACGAAAGTCGTTGCTAACAGATTTTGCGTAGGCAATGTCTTAATGTCCCCCAAAATTAATTTACCAGAAACTGAAACGAATAAATAGGCACTTTATTTATTGTAAGTTAATAGCATGAAAGATACAATGTAGGTACATAATAATTCAATACAAATCCTATATTATGTCCGTAAATTATGAAACAAATAGTACCTACATACTGACTTACGGACTGTTTTATTTTTAATACCTTGTTTGTACCACATGAAGCAATAAAGATATTATGATTATGATTATGATTAAATAGGAAATTTACACCTCATTTATTCAGCGTACTTATTCTGTACAGTAGCTTAAAGGTCTATTACATTACTCTTGTTTACTGTGAACACCTACTCAGAATCGCACAGGCACAATAAAGTAAAACGATTACGTCAAAGATTTCCTGGTAGACCAACCGCGTCTCACTCACTGCAAAGGATAAAGGAATAGATAAATATTTCCCAGTGTCGTTGCACAAGTTACGCACTGAGCGGACTACTGAAACAAAACCTAATGTCACACCGAATTAACAGCTTTTTGTAACAACCGAGTTCTGAATAGGATAGAGAAACGGAGCCTGTGTTAAATCTTCATTAACATTTTAATTGTTCACCTCTATTCATCTACTCAACGACATTGGTGGTTTGTTTCGGTATTACCGAACAGCATATTTTAAGATAAACAAAGCACCTTTTATAAGAGGGGACATTCACAAAAATATCAGTAGTCTTCCACAGATCACCAGGAAAGATGATCCTCAAAGTAAGTAGGCATCCTAACCCAATAAAACTTGTGAGAGTTCATAATTTCAATGTAAATATTTTTCTTTCAGATCGCAGCCATCGGGTTGGTCACGGCTCTTGTATGGTTACAAGGTGCTAATGGAGCTTCCTACTCGAAAGTTTACGTCCAGTCTGGTGGCCCAGATGTAGTTCCATTGGAATATTATAATTATGGTGCTCCGCCCGTGATCTCAGATCCCCAAATAGCTCGCTTATCAGCAGCGCCTATTGGATCAATCGTACCTGTTCAAACGGTATCCAATGTAATACCGCCTTGCGTCTCGCCGTGTGTGGTCTCTGGTCCTAGCATTGCCCCAGTAGCTCCAGTCCCCAGTGCTAAGATTGTTTCCTACAACTCTCCACAAATTCCTGTTGTGGTTGCGGCAAACAAGGACGTATGTATTATTTTGTATTTAATTACTTTAAATACATAAAAGGATATTAATGCATTATTCATTCTCATTTCAGCATGGTTATGAATATTCTTACGTAGTATACGATGAAAATACTGGCGATAGAAAAGCCCAACGTGAACTAAGTGATGGCGCTGTAGTCCGTGGAGAGTACTCATTTTTGCAACCCGACGGGTACGTTCGGGAAGTGCAATATACAGCTGACGATTTGACGGGGTAATGTCTTAAATATTAATGTATGGAAGCTCATGCAATTATACAAATAGATCGCCAGTAATGCATTTCTTACCTATGTTTTTTTTATAGATTCAATGTCGTCGTTAAAAGCATTTTGCCCGAGACTGTTAAAAAACCCGAAAAAGGTGAGCAAGCTCCGTGTCCTATTGTGAAACATGAAGATTTAAAAGTAAACGTATCAACTGATGCTCCATCTCATGATGATCATGGGCATGAAGGGCATGACCATGGACCTGAAGGTCACGACCATGGACACGAAGGTCATGACCATGGGCCTGAAGGACACGACCACGGGCACGAAGGTCATGATCATGGACCTGAAGGACACGACCACGGACACGAAGGTCATGACCATGGACCTGAGGGACACGATCATGGACACGAAGGTCATGACCACGGACCCGAAGGTCATGACCACGTGCACGTTGAATTAGTAGAAGTCAAGGAACCCACACATGAAGCAGTCGTTGTAGAGCACACAGAGCCTGAACATGAAGCTGTTCAAGAACACGAGCTTGTTCACGAGCCAGAACCTGAACAAGCGCATGTTGAACAAATCCCCATAACAGAGCATGCTCCCGAACCAGAGCACGAGCATCCCCATGCTCCTGTGCCAGCCGTGGAACAAGTTGAAGTACATTCCGAAATCCCAGCGGTCACGCACGAAGCGGTGGTAGAAGTAGTTGACTTGCCACACCAGGATCCATCCCCCAATGTGTTAGTACCTTATGATGAGGTACTCCGATGCTTACAAGCCAAATCTCAATCACAAAAGGGATTGAGCTTTTCTCCACTAACTTACATTATTTTGCCAGCTTCTCAACGCCCATGTTAAATAAATCTCACAGATCTAGTCTCTATTACCAATTATTTTGTCACAACTATGAGTTTCATTTGATGCATTAATTTCAATGGCTGTTTTGTTTAAGTTTATGAATAAAATGTATGTTAAATGTTTGTTTCTTTTTTTAATGTACTTAAAAATCACGCACACATCCCAATCTCATTTAAAATAAGCATTTTAATCAAAAATATTACACACAATGAAAATAATGCTGTAGAAGTGAGTTTATTATTTCACTGGCTACTTACTATATCTATTACTAAACATAATAGAGTAGCGCCAAAATAGAAATATAATTGACAACACAACCACTTTGATAGCCTATCGATCAACATCAACCTTGGAACTTTTAACTCGACCTAATGTTGATCGATAAAGTCCTCTCATTATAATTTGTTTACGAATATATTCTAGCATTGTAATAAGTATCGATTGATGAAAGAAACTTAATATCGTTTTTAAATATGAAGTATCAATTAATATTAAGTCATTAGTGGTCACATGATTTAAAAAAAGTAGAGTTATTAGGGCGATGTCCGTATTTTATTTTCATCTGAGAGCATGAATCTAATAAAGCAAGAAATACATATCTCTATAATAAAATAACTTATTTCAGTACATTACGTTAATAAGCTGTCTACGTACATAGACAAGTAGCGGTTGCTTAAAATAACATGCATAAATTTAGTTTCTAAACAACTTATTAAAAAATTTAATAACGTTTTCGCAGTCTTAAAAAATTAGGGCAGGCAATACTTAACTTCCACGTCCAAACTAACGCAAGAAACTAAATAGTTAACACTCACGACCAAGGTAAGCAGAATAGTTTAGAGTTTCAAAACCACTATATTTTCTCAAGCGAAAACATTAAAAATAACGTTTAGGCGTGTTAAGTCCGTAATAAATAAACAACCATTTGCAATATTTCTAATACTACGAATTAGGTACTTAAGAAACTGCGTCGACATTAAACAAAATAAATAGTTTATTGCGACTCTTTTTGGCCATCTTACTCAATACTAAGGGTCATGCTATGATCATTATCTATTATCTAGTATGACACACTTACATTAACTTTCTGGAACATTCCAGAATGCCTTTATACACGCTACTTGACATTCCTTCTCTACTATACTTTCAACGCCTCTACAATGTATTCATTATTAGTTGGGCAAAGTCTTTTCGTACAGCCTATGAGCAAAGGATTTATGCAACTTACTAGTGTAGAGCAAGCTATACGACATTCACTCGAGCGAGTTAAGTGTTCAATTTTCTAAGTAAAAATGCGATTTACTTAGATATTTTTGAAATCTTAATCTTTAAATCATAGTATGAATCACAAGGTATGCTACCAAAATGTTAATGATTCGAAATGCAGCAAGCACTAAAAGGGAATAATTTTTAAATCAAGTAAGATCTATATTAAATAAATGTATACCCTATAGATAACACAAAATTGGTTATTATAGTGTCACCTGGACTTAATTAAACACATTTGCATGCTACTTAAACTTCAATCTTGTTTTTTGTACATTAACCCAAATCAAATAATGTAGGGTTTATTTTAAGAGCCAGTAAGGCCAGCAGGCAAATAACCTACGGATACAAACATAACATTCTTTTCTTTCAATGCTAATTTGTCGCCACGCTAATTTTACTTCGAATGCTTGCCCCTGAACGCGTATAAAAAGTCATTTCAAATAACTATCGGAATCAACAGTCAAAAATAAACGTAGCTTAAAACGGTCAATGTCCCGTTTCCATTCTTGGTACCTACCTTTATTAAGGATCTGTAATTGTAGCTTCATCATTATTTCAGCCACAGGACACCCACTGCTGAACATAGGCCTCCCCCAATGACCCCCTCCACAGCGCCTTCCTGCTACCTTCATGAGGTCGTCGGACAACCTGGTGGTCCCACGCTACGTTTTCCGGCACGTGGCCTCTACTCCAGAACCTTGTAGCCCATCGGCCGTCAGTTCTGCGTACTATGTGCCCTGCCCATAAGCTTATTCCAATCATATTCACTAGATCCTGTTAACGTGAATGAAAGATTACGGATCAAATATCCGCGTTAAGTTTTCCGCCTGCACAGACATTCTTATATCCGACCCCTAGGGTTACAGCTATAACAATGGTAATTACACTATCTCAAAAACGATATCGCATAACGCGAGCTCGCGTGAACCGTCGAATAGACAGTGATTAACGGGTCCGTATTAATATCGGAACAATGTGCGACCTTGAAGGTGTCAAAGTTAAGTCAAGGCGCCGCGCATTTCTCCGCCCCACCGGCCGCGCACGCGTCGGCTGCGTTCTATAAAACCATTCTGCAGGACCGTTGACATCAATCAACTCTATGTTGTTATACACTAAACACAAAATGTTCAGCAAAGTAAGTTAATAATAATATTAAAATTATTAATAATATAAAAATATATTTGATAAAAAGTATAATTAAAATTAAAACAAATCGAATTTTCTATTATTGGAATTTGATCAAAATCAAAATAAGATCTACTTGGTTTGGAATAGGCCCAATTATATCAAAATAGAGCTGATATTCATAAATTACCTTTACTTCCAGATCGTAGCTTTCAGCGCCCTCTTGGCCGCGGCCAACGCTGGTCTCTTCGGGCACGCCACCTCGCACCAGAGCATCGTCCGCCACGACGAGCACCACGCGCCGGCCCACTACGCTGCCCCAGTAGTCCACGCTGCCCCAGTAGCTCACTACGCTGCCCCAGTAGTCCACGCCGCCCCAGTAGCTCACTACGCCCCGGTCGCTTACGCCGCCCCTGCTGCTCACTACGCGCATGACGAATACGTAAGTGCACATAATGTGCTAAGCTTCTAGATTATAAGAATCATGATGAATCATTCACAGTTCTATTACCCATTTGTTAAGAGAAATGAGCCTTTAACATTATTTTATTTATCACGCTTCACCACTCTGATTTTAATGATTAAGACCAAGTTCTGAATAATATCGCGTTCTTATTATCTATTTATTATTATTTCAGTGTGCATAAATTCAGATGCTTCAGTAATTTTCAATTTTTTAAACACTTTTCTGACTGGCCTCACGAAACAAAGCTTGAAACTTGNAATGGCATACATTGTGAACACGCATAATTTGCTCATTACCTACACTAATATTTGCCTCCCAGCATTGATTATGCTACAATATCTATGAAATTGCTATCAAACTGATGGCCACCGATTGCTTTCACAGGCTCACCCTAAATACGACTACGAATACTCAGTGGCCGACCCCCACACCGGCGACCACAAGTCCCAGCACGAGTCCCGCGACGGCGACTCCGTCCATGGCTACTACTCCCTGGTCCAGCCTGACGGCTCCGTCCGCAAGGTCGAGTACACCGCTGACGCACACAACGGGTAAGATATCAAAACTTAAAAAGACTCAACAATCTTCATAATTCAATTTTAAAAAATATACCTACATAAAGCTGCATACAAAGTTGTAGTTTCAACAAAAAGACAAACACAAACGATAAACATCAAGCTATTGAAGACCATAAAAAACTAAGCCTGACGAAAAAATCAATTTTCTTTTTTATAGAGAGAGCTTTGTCTTCAGACTTTGTGAAAACATACTCACTCAGACATAAACATCTGACCTACCAGTGACGTGATAACTTTTATCGGCGTCAAAATGTATGGGCAAAATCGATAAAATGACGCGATATCACTTATCGCGGCGCGCATCCTAGGCCTACTACCTTTGACACCACATTTTTGTATCTCAAATTAAGCGCCATGAAAATGCGACAAATATACATAGTAAAATAAAATTAACCTACACCACATTTTATTTACGACTTTTAACCCAATCTTTTCTTGTTTCAGTTTCAACGCCGTAGTCCACAACACCGCCCCCATCGTCCACGCCGCCCCTGCGCACGACTACCACCATTACTAAGCTAAATAATTACATTTTGCCCTGATTCATGTGTGACTGAGCGATCTATTTATACTTTTGTATACTGTGTGCTAGGAAAAGCTGATTGTTCTGTAAATAAAGTATGGTTGAGCTTTTTTCATAAAACATTATTTTTAATATAACCCATCCTATACAAGAGTTATGTCATTCGTTTATCCCAACATTATATTATACAGCTTTATTAAAAAAACATTACACATATTAGTTAACTGACAGTTTTCTCATTTTCTGACATAGCTTAAAAGGAAGATATCGATATTCCAAAGACTATGAGAGCTATATGCGATTTTCCTGATACATCTGAATAAATCTGTAAATTTATTACATAAACATAAGTTTAGTTAGATGATAGATAAGTGGAGACCATAACTAAACCAAAAAAAAAATGTTTACTCAAACCTAGAAGAGCTCTTAATACTGAAAACAAAGGTTTTTGTCAATCTTTGTTACGAGAAAAAGATCCTACATTGAACTGTACTTCTACTCCAACTTAAAAACCAATGATACAGAGTAGGTACAGAGTAAAATATATTTAGGAGAAAGAAATTAAAACAAAACATTGATCACATCAGTTTTTCAGTTGGCAAAACGAGCTTTAATTTTACTCTATCATGTGGGATGCAACCACTGAGGCCATTATCCGGGTATCGACATTAAAAACTGCTATAGGCTGCTTATTGCGTAGCCTAATTTGACCAACAGCTTAACATTTAATCACAGAGTAGTTATTTCCCGACAATTAGGTTGATTACAGTCTGCAGTCTCCTTCCTGACCAATTCGATACGATTTCTCAAAGTATTTTTTAAATTTTTATTCCCGCTTTTGGATACCATAACTGTCGTTAGTTATGGTATCCCCGGACTAGGTCAAATTCCAGAAATACTATAACAACTTTATCTTAATAATAAAATATTAAATAAACATGATGATGATTAAATAAAGGCTAATTATGAAATATTATAAGAGCAAGCCTGAGAAACATCTCAAATGGACGCCGCTTTTCCGCAAGTTTTTAAGCTACTTCATACCTTAGTAATCTCGGAAGTAATTCTTATAATTCAAAGAATTCATGACACTTTACAGTACACGTAGGTTTGTAATAACCAAAGCTGTAAACAATGACTTAATTCCCTGTGGTCGATTTCTTAAAATAATATAAAACAATGCTGAACCTATCATCTGAATCACTGTAACAATAAAGTTTCACATTTTCAGTAACTATTATTTAAAAAAATCTCTCTTTTGTATAGAAGCTTTTATATTCAGTGCGATTTACAGATTTTTAAACTGTTATTAAAAATTAACATAAATTGTATTATGTATAGTTGATTTATTGAAGCTTTGAAGTCTAATGTAGGAAAAGTTATATCTTATCTACATAGTTCCATGAGTAAAATATTATTTTAACTAAAAATCAAACACCTAGCATTAATTTTTAGCACGATATCATGATATCGAAACAAAACCGTTGACACACAAATTAATTACTAAACCGTTAATTACTAGCTTAGGTTCAACTAATTAATAGTTTTAGTTTGTTAGGTGTTGAAATGGGTAAATGTTTAGATTGAATGATAACGAAATATCATGTAGGTATTTTATTTCCTAAGCGTGAGGGTTACAGTAAGTGCTGTGAAATATTTGACATTATTAATACTTTAACCGGAACAGTATATTGCTGGAAAGAGTTTGAAATCATTAGAAACATGTCCATAGTAACATATACAGTGTGAGTCACGTTAAAGTCTACATATGAAAATAGATGAAACTAGACCTATTTTTATCGACAAAAAAGAGGTCAAAAATTTTTTGAGATTTTTTTTTATTTTTTATTGAATTTTTTTTCTTCCAATTACTTATTGTAAAGAAAACGTAATAACTTTTAAACTACGCGGTATATCCTGGTAAAATAAAAACAGTAGTAATGCTAAATAAAAGGCAATACTAAAAAAATACATAAAACACACAAAAAAGGCCAAAAAATAATAAAAATTGATACTTTTTGAAAAAAATCTGCTTTTAAATTCGTGTTTTTTTGGTTATTTGATAAATTTCTCCAAAAAACAGGTGGTTTTTATTACTTTGTATTATTCTCTATCGTATTATCTTTGAAAAACCAAAAATCGCATGTCTCTATCCCTATCACAACATTTGCTATGAGCGTTTGAACGAAAAAAAATTCTATAAAAATTTTAAAAAAAAATCTCAAAAATTTTTTGACCTCTTTTTTGTCGATAAAAATAGGTCTAGTTTCATCTATTTTCATATGTACACTTTAACGTGACTCACACTGTATAATACGTTCGTTCGTTTGTTCGTTTTGGCCGAAAGACGTCCACAGCTGGACAAAGGCCTCCCCCAAGGATTTCCACAAACACCGGTCCTGCGCCGCTCGCATCCAGGCACCTCCCGCAACCTTCACCAGACCTTCGGTCCACCTAGTGGGAGGCCTGCCCACGCCAAGTCTTCCGGTTCGTGGTCGCCACTCAAGAACTTTCCTGCCCCAGCGGCCATCAGCTCTACGAACTATGTGTAAAAATTTGACACTATTAACACTTAAACCGGAACAGTATATTGCTGGAAAGAGTTTGAAATCATTAGAGACATGTGCCTAGTAACAAAATACAAATATTATAAAATAACGTAGTTTGTATAAATGATTAACTTAATGAATGGTGATGAAGAGATTATTAACACATTTTTACAGTTTTAGAATGTTTATAAATTAAATGCTGTTGAAAGATTCTATCGATTCATGAAGGACTTTCAGATTGGTCTGTTTTTCAGGATGTTAGATTTATACCACACTTTAATAATATTGCTGAAATTTTGACTCATAATTTTATGTTATTATAGTTCTTGCAACTCACGAATTCGAGTGAGCTTTACTTGTGTACATAACGATAGTGTAATGTCTATGAAAACTTTTGAAAAACTAACAATAGCGAGCCACCACACATGTAAAGCTCACTCGCCTTCGTGAATTTCAACAACTGTTTATTTTGTATAAAGGTTTTAATGAGGGCTATCGTTTTATACTTATCAGTTGGCACCCCTGGCGATTGACAGGACCTTACTCTACAGTGGCGGCATCTTGATGAGTGCAAATGCGATAGTCCTCCTACCACTTTAGCGCTCACCAGTTGGTGCCACTGTCTTCGCTACTAGCAAGTGACAGGACCTTACTCTACAGTGGCGCTAACTGGTGAGCGCTAAAACGATAGCCCTCATTGTATCATTTGACACGGCCCAATTGCACCGATTTAAGACGCCCTTCAAAATACGAAATACTAATGTCTATATTACAGTGGGCAGCACACTAAGCTTTACAGTTTTGTTGCAAAATATCACTTATAACAACTTACTAAGATGCCATTNTGCGATTTTCCTGATACATCTGAATATTACATAAACATAAGTTTAGTTAGATGATAAGTGGAGACCATAACTAAACCAAAAAAAAAATGTTTACTCAAACCTAGAAGAGCTCTTAATTCTGAAAACAAAGGTTTTTGTCAATCTTTGTTACGAGAAAAAGATCCTACATCGAACTGTACTTCTACTCCACCATAAAAACCAATGATACAGAGTAGGTACAGAGTAAAATATATTTAGGAGAAAGAAATGAAAACAAAACATTGATCACATCAGTTTTTCAGTTGGCTACTGAGGCCATTATCCGGGTATCGACATTAAAAACTGCCATAGGCTGCTTATTGCATAGCTTAATTTGACCACAGAATAAATAATAAGTTGATTTGACCAACAGCTTAACATTTAATCACAGAGTAGTTATTTCCCGACAATTAGGTTGATTACAGTCTGCAGTCTCCTGACTAATGCGATACGATTACTCAAAGTACCTTATTTTTCAAATCAAATCAAATCAAATCAAATCATTTATTCAATTTTTATTCCCGCTTTTGGATACTATATCTAACGACCGCCGGATTAGGTCAAATTCCAGAAATACTATAACAACTTATATCTTAATAACAAAATATTAAATAAAGGCTAATATTGTGAAATATTATAAGAGCAAACCTGAGAAAAATCTCTTCAAAGAATTCATAACACTTTACAGCATACAGAAGTTTGTAATAAACAATGACTTATTCCTTGTCGTCGAATTCTTAAAATTATAATTATAGAACAATGCTGAACCAAAAATTATCAGACTGTAACAATAAACACGTTTTCAATGACTAACTATTATACAATTCTTTATCTCCCTTTTTGTAAAGAAGCTTTTATATTCAGTGTGATTTTACAGATTTGTAAACTGTTATTATAATCCCAACTAATATTATAAATGCGAAAGTAACTCTGTCTGTCTGTCTGTCTGTCTGTCTGTCTGTCTGTCTGTCTGTCTGTCTGTCTATCTGTCTGTCTGTCTGTCTGTCTGTCTGTCTGTCTGTTACGCTTTCCCGCTTAAACCTCGCAACCGATTTTGATGAAATTTGGCATAGAGATAGTTTGAGTCCCGGGAAAGAACATAGGATAGTTTTTATCCCGGTTTTTGAAACAGGGACGCGCGCGATAAAGTTTTTCTGTGACAGACAAAATTCCACGCGGGCGAAGCCGCGGGCGGAAAGCTATTTAACATATTTATGCATTCAATAAGTTGATTATTGAAGCGTTGATGTCTGATCTAGGAAAAGTTACACAGTTATCTAGTTCCATAAGTAAAATATATTTTTTACTTAAAATCATCATCATCATCATCTCAACCATAGGACATCCACTGCTGAACATAGGCTTCCCCCAATGCTTTCCATGTTGCCCGGTTGGTAGCGGCCTGCGTCCAGCGCCTTCCTGCTACCTTTAAGATGTCGTCGATCCACCTTGTGGGTGGACGTCCCACGCTGCATTACTTAAAATCACCTAGCATTAATTTTAGGTTCAAATCATAATATCGAAACAAAACCGATGACACACTAAGGCGAGGTTGCACCATCTTACTTTAACCACATCATACATAATAGTAGCTCTTTAACTTTGACAAACGACAAAAATCTGTCAAACTCCATACAAAAACACCGGTTATCGTTATAGTTACGGTCCAAGTTAGGTGGTGCAACTCAGCCTTAAATTAATTACTAAACTGTTAATTAGCTTAGGTTCAACTAATTAATAGTTCTAGTATATTAGGTGTTGAAATGGGTAAATGTTTAGATTGAATGATAACGAAATATCATATAGGTATTTTATTTCCTAAGCGTGAGGGTTACAGTAAGTGCTGTGAAATATTTGACATTATTAGCACTTTAACCGGAACAGTATATTGCTGGAAAGAGTTTGAAATCATTAGAAAAATTTTCATAGTAACATACGTTCGTTCGTTAGTTCGTTTCGGCCGAAAGACGTCCACAGCTGGACAAAGGCCTCCCCCAAGGATTTCCACAAACACCGGTCCTGCGCCGCTCGCATCCAGGCACCTCCCGCGACCTTCACCAGACCTTCGGTCCACCTAGTGGGAGGCCTGCCCACGCCAAGTCTTCCGGTTCGTGGTCGCCACTCAAGAACTTTCCTGCCCCAGCGGCCATCAGCTCTACGAACTATGTGTAAAAATTTGACACTATTAACACTTAAACCGGAACAGTATATTGCTGGAAAGAGTTTGAAATCATTAGAAACATGTGCCTAGTAACAAAATACAAATATTATAAAATAACGTAGTTTGTATAGATGATTAACTTAATGAATGGTGATCAAGAGATTATATTAACACATTTTTACAGTTTTAGAATGTTTATAAATTAAATGCTGTTGAAAGATTCTATCGATTCATGAAGGACTCTCAGATTGGTCTGTTTTTCAGAACGTTAGATTTATACCACACTTTAATAATATTGCTGAAATTTTGACTCATAATTTTATGTTATTATAGTTCTTGCAACTCACGAAGGCGAGTGAGCTTTACTTGTGTACATAACGATAGTGTAATGTCTATCAAAACTTTTGAAAAACTAACAATAGCGAGCCACCACACATGTAAAGCTCACTCGCCTTCGTGAATTTCAACAACTATACTATAGACATACTATAGTTTGAGTTATTTACATATTGTTTATTTTGTATAAAGGTTTTAATCTATCGTTTTTATACTTATCAGTTGGCACCCCTGGCGATTGACAGGACCTTACTCTACAGTGGCGCCATCTTGATGAGTGCAAATGCGATAGTCCTCCTACCACTTTAGCGCTCACCAGTTGGTGCCACTGTCTTCGCTACTAGCAAGTGACAGGACCTTACTCTACAGTGGCGCTAACTGGTGAGCGCTAAAACGATAGCCCTCATTGTATCATTTGACACGGCCCAATTGCACCGATTTAAGACGCCCTTCAAAATACGAAATACTAATGTCTATATTACAGTGGGCAGCACACTAAGCTTTACAGTTTTGTTGCAAAATATCACTTATTACAACGAACTAAGACTTCATAATCATTAGCTTGATGTGCTCTCATCTGTATACGCAAACGCCATTCACGTAGTAATCTATTCTGAACGGACCTCCGTCAACTAACTTAAAATTATCGCCGAGATCCGCAAGCCGCATTATGTTCATATTCGTCACGACCCATTTACGTAGGCTGGCGCGTGGACAATGGGGGCAATTGGTAATGCTAATCGGTAATCGGTAAAACACTGTATTATTGAGAACAAACGCAAATAGATGGACTTTAATAAGGCTCAGAAAATTAGATGTTAGATATTTCTTCACTGCAAACAATAATAAATAATTAATTAGCTATTAAGTTTTGTTGTTGTCAAAGTTTAGGAATTAGTTTGTGCACTCGTACAATTATTTACTAAGGCTGAGTTGCACCATCTAACTTTAAGCGTAACTGCATATAACGATAACCGGTGTTTTTGTATGGAGTTTGACAGATTTTTGACGTTTGTTAATGTAAAAGTAAGGTGCAACCCATCCAAAAAAATATAGTTTGGATTAACAAAATTAGCGTGGGAAATTATAAGTAGAGGTATAAAATGAAAACGTAATAATGCTCTTGTTTGCAAGCCTATCATTTATAATGATTTAATGATACTTATTACTGGAACTACGCTAAACCTACGCATTTTTTACGCGCTAACTACTCCAGCGTGACCGTCCACGCACAATTTGAGCGCTTTGCATGGCTACCAGCAATCGATATCGATACCATGACACATATTTGCGCCAATTATATGATCGGTTTTTAGTTCGACCTTATGCTATTGTCATTGTCGCCCGAGGTCCGCATGCTGCCTGTAACCCCACTTGTTCTTGTTATAGCATATAAAAAGCAGTGGGCGGTGGCTGTTGACATCAATCACAAGCCGACTTTGAAACTACAAGCAAAATGTTCAGCAAAGTGAGGAAAATTAATTTGTGTATTTAGTGTTTTTGAGTGAATTTTTAAAAATAAAATATGTGGTCCTTTAAGTGTGAAAAGGATATGTGTGATAATCATCATCAGGTCATTTAGACTCCACTACAGGAGCACATTGTGATCAGGAGATCATTGTGGAAAACCTTGGGGGAGGCCTTTGTCCAGCAGTGGACGTCATTTGGCTGAAACGAACGAACAGGAGCACAACCTTCTCTATGGCATGAAGGATTTGGCCTACACTCCCTACTCAGGCCAAGCGGGCTGGGGTCTGATTTTCGAGTCCATTAGTTGCCTTTTGTGATATCTACGAAAAGAGTGGACGTGACCCTATTCAACTCTTCTGGAACTAAACGTAATTAATAGGCCGGCAGTTATAGTGTTTAAAGTGACAAGTGCTAAAAAATAAACGTTGTTCCAGATTGTAGCCTTCGGTGCCCTCTTGGCTGCGGCCAACGCAGGCTACCACGGTCACGCGGTGTCTTCCCAGAGCATCGTCCGCCACGACGAGGGTGGCCACGCTCCGTTGGGCTATTACGCTGCGCCCGCGCACTACGCCGCTCCCCTGGTGCACGCCGCTCCCCTGGCCCATTATGGTGCTCCCCTGGCCTACGCTGGCCACTACGAAGGTCATGATGACTATGTAAGTACTTGGAATATTCTCTGGACACTGCAATGAGCACCTAAGGTAGATGTTATTGTTGGTATGTGCTCGAGAGTCTATGTAAGCAGTTTCTAAAACAACAATTATTACACTGATAGAAGTGCTTCAATTGTATTAAAACTGAATATTGAAGTATGAAAAACCAGTTGACAGTGATCACTGATCAGTTTGGCCAAGACATTGCAGGTTCTTTGATAATAATATTTGATAATAATTATTATTTATCAAGAATTTTTGTGCTTCTGTTCTACTATTAGACTGACCTCTCACCATCTGTATTCCTTCTGATTGTAAACAGTCTGAATCGTTAATAAAGGTTGACATTGGCTGCTGATAATGATTTATTAATACCTCAATTTTACTTTCAGGCCCACGCTCACCCCAAATACGACTTCGCTTACTCCGTGGCCGACCCCCACACCGGCGACCACAAGTCCCAGCACGAGTCCCGCGACGGCGACTCCGTCCACGGCTACTACTCCCTGGTCCAGCCTGACGGCTCCGTCCGCAAGGTCGAGTACACCGCTGATGACCACAATGGGTAAATACTATTTATTAATTAAGAAATGTATTCAACTAAAACGTTGCTAAGTGCTATTGAAAGAGAACCCTTTATTAGTTTAATATCACTTGTGGCATCTGAGTCAATGGAAAGCTGTACCGACAGTAGACGTCACAATGTGGCCGAGCTTAAAAAAATTATCCGTCCCGGAAATTTATTTACTCTTTAATCCTACTAAAGCAGATATTTTTAAATACTATATCATCTGAGCGTTGAATTATACTGCTCACCGATCGAGCAAGCATTAAGTAATTAATATTTACAAGTCTAGTTACGCATGTCAATCTTAATTATATAAATTGATAGAAATTGCTGGATTAAAATGTTTTCATCATAAATCTTATCTCTCTTTTACCAATTGATTCTCTTTTACCAATTGAACTGTTACTATCGTCAGTCTTACTTTACCTTATCTAATATCTTATTTTTTAGATTTCTTGTATCTTAATTAATTTAATTTTTCAGCTTCAACGCGGTAGTACACAACTCCGCCCCGTCCGTCCACCCCGAGCCCGCCTACCACCACTACTGAACAAAGACTTGTATTCTTGAAGCCATGAACCAAACTTTGTACTTAATTTATTAAAAACCTTAATATTTAATTCTATGTTTTTATTTCCTTACAAATGTATATTTATAAGACGAAAATGTTATTGTTTAGGTAAAAGTCAGTTAAACGACCATAAATGGAATTGACCCCTTTTCATTACAATAACTTACTTAAAATAACTCGAACCAGTCAAATCAACATAGGAGGCAGTCTAGTATAATAAGCTATCAAATAACATAACAATATAATTATCTTTAATCTAGCATGTGCTAAACAACTTTGAACTTGATATTTTTTTCACAGAGGAATGTGTCTATTGTTTTTCATCAACCTTTATAAGACAAAGATTTTATTTGACACTATTGCGTCAAACTTGGCCCTCAAAGAGGGTCACACTAAATTATAGAGCAGCGCTGCCATAGCCGACAATTATCGCATAGAACCTTTACCTGCAATCCATTTTCGGTGTGCCCCCGAGTGTCAATTGAGTATTATCTAAATCACTTGTCACCGAAACTAATAATAAAGGTGGAGTGCGTAACTATGACTGTTATCCTACAAAATATCTAAACTACAGTGAAATAATTCGGCTTTGTTGGCTGTTTTACAAGGTGTCTAATAGGCCATTTAAGTCCGAACGATAAAGACATCAAGCGCTGTATTTTCGTGTAACCGCGCCACGCGGGCGTGACTGAATGAACTTGATTTATACGCCTTTATTACTAGGTGTTTATTTCGGTGCTACTAGATTTAATATGACACTTCGTAATTCTGTAATTTACAAATAATAGCTATAAACAATGGCAAAATGGAACAATGCATTATAGGTAGGTACTAGGACGTAATTTCACGCGTCAATTCACATTATTGAACTTATTGAACGAACTTGTATTCCCAGATGCTCATGGTAAGCGAAGTAATGCTTCCTTAAATCAAAATGTACCGGTATATCCAGACTGACTTCAAATCGTATTATAATTTGTAATAGTAAGGCAGTTTATTTTCGTTTTAAGTCCACGTCCATCCTCTTCTGAACTTAGGCATCTCATAGTGAGTCCATTTCACGAAATGTTCAAATGAAATGTTTGTTTTTGGGCTTACGAAAGCAGTGTACCTATTACAAAAAGTAAAACCACGAAAATGTTATTTTGATAATTGAAATAAAATCCGCAACAGAATTAACATACCGCGCATGTATTACCCGAACACACGTAGGCGTAAAACAGTTAAGTAAAATCACCGAGAAATCTTTGTTTGGCAAGAATAGCTCGGTAATAAGACGCACAACGGATACCGGATTCAGTAAGCTCATTTTCCCGTTACTACAATAACACAAAGCAATATTTGAGCTTTTCAGAATATAAGCTACCTATGTGATTTTTATCTTAGTTTCATTCTATAATGTCTCATCTAAAATAGTTACGGTATATTAACGGCCTCTTTAATTGACTTCAACTTATAACGCATCTAAAATTTCACCAGAACGAGTCGTGTACTGATTAGGCTAGACGTCATCCTACGCTTGGGCTTGCATGTGATCTCTATACAAATGACTCTCAGCGATGCGGGACCGTTTTGACTGTATACTGCGTGGTACATAGTGAAGCTACTGTATACATTTCTGTTACCATCAACTGCTGACCGGCGATGGCGCTCTGATTACCGCCTGCACAACCTGCCCTTGATGGTTCGTGCTTGTTAAACCACACAATGTCTTTAGAGACAAATTATCAGTTAGCAACTGCAATTTCAAAAATTGAATCAAACTCTAGTTATCTTTGAAGAATTAAAAGCTCAGATGTATAAAAAAAAGTTTACGTCTAGCTGTAAACTGCCATTGACATAATGATGATAATATGAAATAATGTAAACCATTACATATGAGAAATCTTCGCATAAAAACAACTGTAGGTAAGCTGAAAATTGCAAAAATCCTTTTCTATATTGGTACCAGCTGGATTAGACCTTTAAATATAAACCTCTTCATCGTATGGCATACCTTTGCTGCTTAATTGTGTAAGCACAGATTTAAAATTGAAAAGGCATTCTAGCCCGATAGTTTAAAATTGAAAATACATAATAATATCTGGAAATTAACAATAATACCCATTTAAATTATATTAGGTCTGAGATATTAATTGAACAATTAAGTTTCTTTTAGCAATGTACTGAATAGGAAACCGAGTCGGTTTTTTAAAAAGATTATAAAGACAGTTGATTGTCAGTTATTAAATACTTATAAAAATAATTGGTAGGTAGGTACAATAACAGCTTTAAATGCTTATACACAATCAGATATTTCAATTAAAATATTAAAATAACAAATTCATAGAAGGAATTAAGAAATCCTCTCATTCCTTTTATTTAGTTTTCTGAAAACAATAGTTATAGTAGACCGTATTTTAAGTATCGATCCGTACTTCCCGAATCTATATTAAGATATGAAATACCAGTTACATGAATTGATTGTACGCATATAACCCAGTTGCGTATTATGTAATTGCTAAGTGTCAAAATAATATTGATTTACGTATCCCTCGCCCATTTATTGTCATTATTATGAGAAAGACTTCCCGATAGGACTGCTATTAACAATAACGGGATTTCATAATATATTTCAATGAGCTTTGCATTTCAAAATTGTGAATGAAGCTAGCATGAATAACCAAATAGGTAAATAACGTTCCTCATAGTTTAACATTATTTTGATGAAAAACACATCTGGACGAAAGGAAGAACGTTAGTGGTATGGAAAAATGATATTTTTTCCTAATAAAAACATTTAATGGATTCAAAGTAAGAGACAAACGCAAACAGTACAAAAAATCTTTTCAGAGCATCCAGCTAGGCTCAAAACACATTTTTTCCTTTTCTGCCTTTCTTTGTAGTGCATTGTTATATGCCTATTTTGTGTAGCATGGTTCCTATCATACAACTTGCTTCATTTGACTTGCTACTATCTCTACTCTACTCGTACATAAGTACCAAGGTAGGTAGTACCTATATCTCGCAGCTGACAAAGTTTTTGTTGCAGGAAAACAAAAGCTAGAGCTCGTTTCTTGTTTTACGTTCGTTTTGTTGTACTCGAATCGTAGATATCACACACGGAACATGAGAAACGATTATCGCTTTACTCGTTATTTATATTTTAGCCATACAATAAAATATTTGCCATACTTTACGTAACATACCTAGTTAAGTGATTGAACTAAGCATTTTTATTACCCGATTTAGAAACATTCCGCTGCAAACCTAATTGCAGACACCCACTTATAGTTACGCCTTACAAGTTCATTAAAACTTTATTTATAGTTCATTTAACTTGATTATTGGCTATTTAACTGTAATTATTATTCTTGTTAATTTAACTAATAAAATCAGCGTTAGCTTAAAATAATTTTAAATGCCACACAATCGAAATATTAATAAATGATTCCGAAATTTATTTCAAATTAGAGAACTACTTATAAGAAATAAAGTTTATTTGAATAAGCCAAAATAAGGTAACACGATTTTCCATTAAAACATGAATTGACTACTTTATTGTTTTGGTTACAAAATATAATCTAAATAACACAAACAAAAGTTAATGCAAAATACTCAAAGCTCACATTTACTCACGACAAGACAACATAATGGCGGAGTACCTACGTTAATTCATAAGTTTTTCTCATACAAACGTGCGCAGTAAAACGTACACAAACACAATCTTATCACGGCCCACGCTGGCCTAGTATCATGCGTATAATATAAGGTTCGNATTATGAGAATGACTTCCCGATAGGACTGCTATTAACAATAACGGGATTTCATAATATATTTCAATGAGCTTTGCATTTCAAAATTGTGAATGAAGCTACCATGAATAACCAATTAGGTACTTATCGTTCCTCATATTTTAATATATAATTTTGATGAAAAACACATCTTGACGCAAGGAAGAACGTTAGTGGTATGGAAAAATGCTATTCTTTCCTAATAAAACATTCAATGGATTCAAAGCAAGAGACAAACGCAAACAGTACAAAAAATATTTTCAGAGCATCCAGCTAGGGTCTAAACACATTTTTTTTTATCCTCAACGAGGAAGCTCTTCTTTTCTGTTTTTCTTTGTAGTGCATTGTTGTATACCTATTTCGTGTAGTGTCCTGTCATATAACTTGCTTCATTCATTTACTCGTTCATAAGTGCCTAGGTAGGTAGTACCTATATCTCGAAGTTGAAAACTTTTTCTTACAGGAAAACAAAAGCTAGAGCTCGTTTCTTGTTTACGTTCGTTTTGTTGTACTCGCAGATATCACACACGGAACAGGAGAAACTATTATCGCTTTAATCGTGATTTATATTTTAGCCACACAATAAAATATTTGCCCTAGTTTACGTAACATACCTAGTTAAGTGATTGAACTAAGCATTTTTATTACCCGATTTAGAAACATTCCGCTGCAAACCTAATTGCAGACACCCACTTATAGTTACGCTTTACAAGTTCATTAAAACTTTATTTATAGTTCATTTAATTTGATTATTGGCTATTTCACTGTAATTATTACTCTTGTTAATTTAACTAATAAAATCAGCGTTAACTTAAAATAGTTTTAAATGCTACACAATCGAAATATTAATAAATGATTCCGAAATTTATTTCAAATTAGAGAACTCCTCATAAAAAATAAAGTTTATTTGAATAAGCCAAAATTAGGTAACACGATTTTCCATTAAAACATGAATTATTGTTTTGGTTACAAAATGAAATCTAAATAACACAAACATATGCAAAGCTCACATTTACTCACGACAAGACAACATAATGGCGGAGTACCTACGTTAATTCATAAGTTTTTCTCATACAAACGTGCGCAGTAAAACGTACACAAACAATCTTATCACGGCCCACGCTGGCCTAGTATCATGCGTATAATATAAGGTTCACATAGTATTTTTGTTAAGTAACGATCATTTGGCCGTAATGAACACAATGTAATAAGTTTCAGTGGGCGAGTTATGCCGATAAAATTGTATGTGTGAGTGTCCTAAGGTTCGTATGGAAAAGCCTGATGTGAGAAGTTGTCTACATTTTTGCCAGTCCACAAAATCAGTGGCCCTCGTAAGTGATTCGTATGAGTATTTGGCATCTCACTCGTGTAAATATTTTGCTAAGTTTGTAACTGTAGCGTTTATTTTATGCATTGGCTAGCACCAAAAAGTTACAACCCAAAAATGGAATCATCACGTAACGGTTACGTGATGATTCCATTTTAACCTAAGCTTTCATGGGGATAAATAAGTCATATGATAAAGAAACCTCGACTACATTGTAGAGAGCAGTTGCTTTTTACGAGTATAATAGCTTGCAAATGGTTCTACAGGAGGAATTTACTTCTACCTGTTTCTCATCATCACTCATACTTCGCTTACTTTGTATACCCATGAGAGCTTCATGGAAAGAGGTCATTGCACACCTCTCTGCACTGTGTCGAGAATGTGCAAGACAAAGCAACGCGACCTTGCAGGCGCGGGGACGACCGCGGAGTCCGCGCCCCACCGGACAACTCCAATTCTTATAAAACCCACCGCGGGATACCAGATGTATGTCAGTCACGCACTACGATCCCACACAAAAAATGTTTGCCAAAGTAAGTGAGAAAGTAAAGTGATAAAGATTTCCAGGATAACAGTAGCTTTAGATTGCTCTATATTGATCATCACAACAAGATCGCAAAAAGCTTTTTTGATAATCTTAAACACAGGAGCAAAAACACTTCACAGGATTGTCAGCTCTCTCTCAAACACTAAAGTCTCATTTTCTATGCAGATTCTTGCCCTCGGAGCCGTAGTGGCTGCTGCCCAGGCTGGTCTGCTCGGCCATGGCCACGGATACTCCGTGTCTTCGCAGCACAACGTAGTGCACCACGACACCCACTACGACAACCATTACGCCCCTGTGGTCCACGCTGCCCCTCTGGTCCACGCCGCCCCTGTGGTCCACGCCGCCCCTATTGTCCACGCTGCCCCTGTGGCCCACCTCGGATACGCTGACCATGGTCATGAGGACTACTACGTACGTAGCTTCCTATGTAGAATATGCTTAAATATTTACCAGTTTAATACTCGAACAGGAATCTATTCTAATTAGATCTATTGATTTCATATAATCTAACCGCTTTTGATTAGAGACTGAAAGGCGTTTCAATGGCTATTAAAATGACATAATTTCTGATAGCTGATAGCTAAACAAATATTGGTCAACTTGATTAATTTGTAAGGTTTTGCAAATAAACCAATATTGACTAGGAAGTCGATCTAGTATTTTGTCAGACCTATAATTATGGTTGTGGCAACTAGACGAGCGCCTCTTATTTTATCAACAATTATCAGCGAAAGGAAAACTGGATATCCCAGATATGCAAACTAGAGTTGTCCTAAGTAGGGCAGTTGGTGTCGTAACTGTTTCTACTTTCATTCATGTAAATGGTTTTCCGCAGTCTCACCCCAAATACCACTACTCGTACTCCGTGGAGGACCCTCACACCGGCGACCACAAGTCCCAGCACGAGAGCCGTGACGGAGACGTCGTGAAGGGCGAGTACTCTCTGCTCCAGCCCGATGGCTCCTTCCGCAAGGTCGAATACTCCGCTGATGACCACAATGGGTAAGCAAACTCCAATAAAATCTTCGAATATTATCTACTCGTAGTTAAAAGAAACTTTGAGGGACTTCTCAAATAAACAAAACACTGCCAAAGCGTTCATTTATCTCAGGATTTAGCTGTTGCTTCAATATATTTTCTGGACTTTTCGCACTGTCACGCACGCTATGTGCTTATGTTCTTAACTTAAAATAACACGCTGTATGGCCTGTGTACTAAGAAATTAAATTGAACCACCGCGTACAAGTTATTGCAAGAACGTTGACAAATTTAAATCTCAGATTAAGGTGTCGAGTTACGCACTTTTTCACGAGGATCTTTAATTTTTCCACACTTTTTGCCGTATCACTCTACTTATCTACTTAACATAAAAATTACATAAATTAGAGAACATTTATTTAACGTGCGATGTAATACCTACCTCGCTGATGATTTGCAACTTTCCCCGAATTGTGCAAAACAGGCCCGAATACTGCACATATTTGCTTTAAGGAAATATGCGCGTAACCATGTGACTTAGAATCAATGTTTACATCCAATCATATGGTCGTCAAACCGGTACCGGGCATATATGCAGGTAATGACCTCTCTCGACCCGCGCTTGCTACTGTCTGTCAACGAACGGGCAGGTGGCAAAGCAAGTGTCGACAAACAAGTTTCAAAACGGGTTCTCTTGTCATGTTTACGTTTTGAACAATAGTTCTAATCTGATCGACGTCAGTTCCTGCAACATTTTCGCTATCGCTCTCTAATTGGAAATAAAAAACAAGGAAAGCAAGTGACGCATGTGAAAGACAGGATTTCTAAACATTTGTTTGTTTACAGCTTCAACGCCGTCGTCCACAACTCCGGCCCCAGCCACCATGTGTACCACTCCCAGCACCACCATTACTAGATCTCTAAAAGCATTAGCTGTATCAACCATGTCTATTTATTCTCGCTGTGATCTTCATGTACATAATGTACTATCGATTTAATTAGTCATTAAAATAGTACAAACAACGCTGTTTCTTATTTTACAACAACTCAATAAACCTAGACTGTAATTAAGTGATTTCACGAAACCAAATGTTTAAATGATATGCTCTAATAACTACACAATTACAAGCAGAAAAATAAAATGTACCCTTGTTAAACTAACATTACAAATTATAAACATAGAAAACTGGTTCATCCACAACAATTTATCATGTTACGAAAATAATTATCTCAAATATGCGTCAGTCTGTCGAAAGCACTTCAAACGTTCAACATTTATCACCTACTACAGGTCGTTAGAGTGATCTGCGTAGTAATTGTGGCAGGTTACACAAATAGCCAAAAGTTCTGCAATAAAACCAATACTTTCTTGAAATATTGGTAAGCAAAGATATTCGCTACTTTTTAGAGGTCTTCTGGAGTAATTTTTGGTAATAATAGTGCCTCTACATTCAGTAGTGACCTCAAATTGTAACTTACCCACGCTTTCAAGGGCAAAAATAAAAAACCGCAACGAAACACACTCGTAACGTAGATGGTGTGATATTTGTTTGACGAGAGAGAGACAGTAGAAGTAACGACACCTGTACGTACATTCAGACTTTATCAAATACTATGAAGTAATTTAGAACTGGAACGATACCCTGGTATAGACAACTTACTGCTTACTGTAATTCACATAATAAGCTCACTCAGAAGCTGATTAAACACAAATTCGAATAACTATTTCTAATAATATTGTAACATAATTTATATCAAATACCTCAATCATTTCTGGCGCTGTATGCAATAGCTTATTAGTCTATCTAGCAAGCTTTTGAACTACACCGCAAGTAATCAGATGCAAAATAATAAATAGAAATTACTTTAGTTGAAGTTAAGTCAGTTGTATAACAGTCTTATTGCAGTTCACAATCCCATCTATGGGTGGATCTGAAATTACTCCACCACAGCCACAACAATTAGTGGAAGGGTGTGATACCCTTAAGTCTTACAATCAGATGGTATTAAACCTTCCTAGAACCTCTGACCAGGCTTAACCACTATTGAGTATTGAATATTGAGTATTGAATAACCTCTGAAGCCAAGCATCTCTCACAAAATATGATGATGATTTACTTTACATAACATGGCATCAGAGGAAAAACGTAATCAATTTCGGATTAAGTTTTTGCTGTATTTGATACTACATACTTATTTACTTCAGGTTACTCCAGTATTACTCATAATTTATAAAACCTAGCAAAAAGTGGTTAATTACTTTCAAGTGTAATTACCGACGCAATTAACGATTCGAACGTGTATCAAGTTACACGATAGTAATAAACATGTAAAATACATTTTTTGTTTAAGATATACATGAAAGCACAAAGGAAGGAGAATTATATGAAAGTACCTTCTGATGAGTATTTATGTTTCTTTTTTCACTGTAGTCTCATGTTTATAGAGGAGTATGAAAGATGATTAACAGTTTCCAGTGGATCCACAAACTAAGATCCATGCAAGTGGATCCACGCGAAGTCATAATTAAAATTTAAAAAAATCTACTAGTTCGCACTTTCCTTTTGATATCCTTCAGTGATAATTGTGAACTAAAAACCTTATTCCTAGATAATTTTTTTTTTCAAGTTTCATCTACCTTATTATACGCACGAATGCACAGGTTTTTAACAGGAAAAATAAAATCAACAAATATTTTATTTATTGATTTATAATTACATAAATTATTAAAAAATAAATTTAATCGATTCCTAATTTTATTACTTTTGAAACTAGGTGTTTTCAGGAGAAACCGTGGGACAAGACTAACTTTAGAACAACAATATTTTCTAATAGTACTTTTTAAAAACCTTGGGGGAGGCCTTTGTCCAGCAGTGGACGTCATTTGGCTGAAACGAACGAACTTTTTAAAAGGTTCTTACTACTTAAAAGGTTCTTACAGATAAAAAAGAATATTGTATAGAACATTTTATAATTTCAGACTACTCACGTACCCGTATAAAGTCGAGGGCACAATTTGTTAATAATAAACATAAGGTGTGTGCATTAATGTAGGTAAGTAGTTAAGAATAATAAGCCAAACTGATAGAGTGATTACGACGACGGGCTTTTAGTAAATATACGAAGATAAAATCAAAAACGTCATATAAAAATAATAATTTGTCACGTTTATCAACAGAATTTATCTTCGAGTGTCCATTTGTCCAAGCCTCGGCGTAATTCACCTTGACTTAGCTGTCATTTCGAAGCAAACTTACCATTTCACAATGCACATTTAGATAAAATTCCTAGGCCTGCGATAATATTAAGATTTAATTAGGTTAATCAGTAAGGTCACTTATCTTATAATGTAAGTATCCTCCAGATCATTGCTTTGTGAGGCAACTACTCTGTAGTTATTTAATTTTTTAGCGTTAAGAGTCGCATCTCAAATCGTGTGTTCAATTCCCGCCTTAGGCAGTTCGATTTTTTCAAGTTATTTATAATTTTCAAACTACTCTGTAGTTGGACAGGATTTTAATTTAATATTATTATTCAATTCTCTGTTGACAGAATAACATCTAACAGAGTACAGTTATGTGGGGAAGCCCCTCATCCACTCAAAAGGTTTGGGTTCGATTCCCATCTGGGAATCTGTATTTGCGTCTCTCTTACGAACCTTACAAAAACATTTTATATTATTCAATTCGAAATCATTATGTAAATATAGTCTGTTTCATTACTTTTAGACTGAATAAACAATAAGATACGTGATACAATAATAATCAAAATATAATAGGCATTGCTGATAAACACATTTATTTCAATCAAAACAATGACAAGGTTAGCACCATACATTTTTCACCGCAACGAAAACAATTAGCTAACGCCACATATCGTGTGCTCAACGAATAGGCTTTATGCTATAACGATATGCTCTAATAACAAAATCAAGGAGCTGTCAACACTTGATGAATTGGTGGAGTCACGGTCAGCGCGGGTGAGTGACCTCTGAACCGCAGAATTACACCTTTCAATCAAAGTGCGCCCGCGCCTGACCTTGTAAACAACAAAGCTCGCGTTTTCCGATCAGAAAAGGTAAGGCTTCCGTAAGCACAATTTTTATGCTGCAGCCAGAAATACATTTTGACTTTTTGTTACGATACGTAAGTTAGGTATGTCAATATAAGTGCAGGTGGAACGTATAGCATTCCATGCATTTCGCCAGCGTTCCTATGCTGTCGCATACTACTTTTATGACTGAAAATTCCTATACAATTGTGCTTTAAGAATATAGTGATGCAGCGCTACATTTTCTATCTGAAATTTATTTAACACTAACTACTAAATAACAATCACGATTTACGATAAATGATAAACATCATGATCTATTTAGTAGTCAAGTATTCGTATTTAGTTGTGTTCTTAAAGTTTACAACTAACTTCATTCAATCATACAATTCTTACCTGTCGAATAGAGAAAACATATTTTCAGCAAGAAAATTTGCTTGAACGATTGAAAAACTGTAAGTCGTTCTGAAAATAACCAAATTTCAACCAGATACTGCGGCAATTAAACCTATCTTGGCCGGCTCTACATCGAATAAAGCGCAGCGCGCCGTGGGCGTGTAAACACAATCGCCAGAAAATCGATTTAACGTAATCGATATGCAATAATCGTACATAATTAAAGTCTTAGGTGCTCTTGAAGAGTATTATTTTTATTGGGCATTGCATGAGTTTCGGATTGATTGAAATTGTTTCCTTTGTTTCATTTAATCATTACGACTCATTGCAAATTCTTATGAAACTACATATGTTGTTATCATCTAAGTACGAGTATGAGGATTGTAAACAAGAAAAAAATATTTGTGTTAACAGAAAACTAAGTTACTAGGGACTATTAAAGAACTTATTACTTCAGTTCATTTTCCTTATTTGACTCAATTTGTTATTAGCCAGTTTCAAAAACTACAATTAAACTTGAAAGATTTGGCGGGATTAATAACGGTTTTTGTCTACTTTATTGATCTTTAAGAACAAAGTTGTTGCTAAATGCTCAAGATTTAATTAGTTTTATAGCTTAAACTTAACTTTTATTAGGGCCTTAATGAATGCAATGATCGTGCGAAACCTCGCCCGTTAAGCTAAACAATTGTGACAAATGTATACCGATTTCATTAACAAATTCGTGCTTCGATCGTAGATATGAATCTCAATTTCTTATCGTTAATGGCTAAGGGCTAACTGTTATTATAGTAATTTGATTCAGCGTGCAATCTATTGCGCCTTTAAATATCACTGGTCTTTGTCCATGGCTTTGCTCGTGTTAATTTGGATCTGACGCAGATCTGAACTTCAGTCTCATAATTTAGGGAATGTACTATGTATCATGAGTAGAGTCTTAGTTTTAAAGGATGCCAACGATTTCAATGTCACCCTGTATATCCCATTACCTAGTTTGACCTTTACAAACTGTTTTTACGATGAAAGATAAAGTTTGTTTGACATAGGTACCAGCTTATTTTAATCTCCAAAAATCAAAATTAGTTTTAATGAAAATGCAACAAACAAACAGTGTAGAATATTAGTGGGTACAATTTAGTGCTAGAGGTCATTCTTATGTTTAATTCATTAATTTCAGTTCTATATTCATAACGACCGATCACTGTAAAACCACGTACCAAAAATATTTTTGGTAATTTTTCTTTCACAACAACTAAGGTTTGTAAACTTAGTAGAACTGCTAGTTTATGACAAACAGATGAGGTAGGTAGTACATCTTATTTTAATAATTTATTTCTTATTCATATTCTTCTTATTATCATTTTATTTTAGGGTTATTCTATCCACATTTTGTTACAGTATTTAAATACAAACTTGCACTTCTGATTTCTGTACCTCAATTTTATCGACTGTCTATCAACCAACCCAGCTACAGACATCGGCTACTTTGATAATTGCAGTAAAGGTACGATCGCCTTGGGCGATATTGGTACTTAAATTATCGATAATAAACAATGAAATTTCGTTAGGCACTCATGTGTAAGGTTGTCTTTTGCAACAATTAATTTATGATACCAAACCGTTGTGATCGCGTTACATCGCGTAGCACAAAAAGAAGCGCTTACACAATTTTCCTGAAACACCAAAACTGAATTTAACTGAATTTCTTTAGTACTTATTGTTAGTTAGGTAAATGAGTAAGATACATCATGTAGAGTTAGTTTATGGAGATGTCATCATTACACAACCAAATACATTTACTATATAAAATTTTCGTGTCACAGTGTTTGACAAAACTCCTCCGTAACGGCTTGGCCGATTCTTATGAGTAAATTTCAGAAGAGGACGTAAACTATTTTTCATGACCCTACGTGCAAAACGACGTTTGTTGGGTTAGCTAGTATTATTTAAGATTCTTATACGATTTTGAACTTCTGGTTCATATACCATGCCCTTTACCTAATTTTTGCACATTGGCTGTCTGTCCAACTTTAGCTTCGTAAGAAATTGAATACCATCAAGCATAGGCTTTATACGCAAGTGACCACTGCGGTTTGAGTCGGAGTGCATTTGATATAACTTTTGCAATCCCAATAATGTATCGCGATGTATTTCGCGAGCGTTCACACGTCAATTGTCATGTTTAATTAAAATTAGCAAGTGACCAACAAACCAACACTGACCTCATTCTGACAAATGTGACACGATTTGATGCAAATTAGTTATTGTGTCTTTAAATAGTATAACTATTATACTAAATAGGTTCATTCATACATTGCCCAAACAAATTAATAACAAACACACTCATTTGTTTTTTTTTATTTGTTATAGTATAAGTACGAGTAAGTTCATTGTAAAATGATTTCGACATTTTAGTAACATTATTAATTTGATCCTCATGAGAATAACTCTTGATAAAGATTGAATTGAGCTTTTTCTTAAGTATGTTATTGAATGCAAAAAGCCTTTTTTGTCTTCGTTTTTTTATTCCCTTATATTCAACTCGTCCCAAATATTACATGCTCTACCATCACTTCGGTACAACATACATAAAAGCTACATAATATTTGGATTTCGACTGATTTTTTTTCATATTCTGGACATTTTATCATAACGGGCATAAGGTGAGCAATAACTATTAATGAATCAAGCAAATATTGTTACTAAACCTGCTAATTTCCTGGGCAATTCATTTTCAATCTAAATGAATGGGGTACAATCAACTAACCACATGGAACTCAAAATCAATTAAACTAGTGTCTAGAGCTGATACTGAGCTGTGGTTAGGGTTACTGTAGAAATAAGAAATCCCATCACAAACAATACTTGTCAAAAAAACCAAGTCTCGCAACTCAGTTGTTCTACGGTAAAAAGTTGTGAGATCCATGTAATACCAAGTCCAGGCCAGGAAATCTTTAACGTTTTACATAAATTATTGACTTGGCCATCGCACTAAATAATTTAATTTACACGTGTTTTCATGAAGAAGTCCTTTACGCGGTATAACCGGAAAACCGAATAATCACCCCTTTCGGGAGCCCCCACCACTTAAGCACAACTCCGTCGAAGTCGAAAACCTAGGAGAGTCTTAATGGGCAACCAATGAAGCCATTAAAGCAATAAAATCTTTTGTAGGAATTATTTCCGATTTAAAATCTAATTCTACTGGACTATTATGTATCTAGAAAACTGGACCGAAATTGAAAAATTTTACTCGACTTGGCGGTTGCACTACCGTGCTCCCAAATATTTTAGTTTTTCCTTGATTCATACACCAAACACTACTTATAATCCAAATTTGAAGCTTCTAGGTCTGCTAGAAGTGCCTTAGAATTTTGATGATCGGTGAGTCAGTCAGTGAGTGACAAAATTAACAAAATTAAGAAACTTCGACCCGTTATAATTCTTAAACTACTGGTTCAAATTGAATGAAATTTGAAATATACCGTGTCTTTACAATGCCTGAATAGCTAATGAAAATTCAGCCTTCTAGTTTTATCCACAACGAAGTTACAGGCGGTCGAAAATGGCCTGAATTGCTTCGAGAAAAGGATGGTACGGCCGTGCTCGACTTGGCTAGTTAACCAGCAAGTATAAATTTTACGCAAGCTGCAAAGGTTTATTGGGAAAAATTCCAGTTTATTTTCTTTACCGAATTTCTAAGCTTTTATCATTATTTACTCAAAAATGTGCCTGTTCTGAATAAAATGCTTATTTAGTAGGAAATTCAACATCAAAATGTGATGATTGTGTCACCCAAACCATTTCTCTAGTCCAAAATCTGTTCTAATTAAAACAATTATTATGAATCCTTCATTCGCCTAAAACAGCTCTAGTTTAGGTTGTAACATACTGCATGCAACTAAACGTAAAAAACTTGATACGATCCGATTTCTAATATTATCTTTCCTAGATCGCAATTATTTGAAGTGCTGGAGGGTGTAGTACATTGGAGAAGGGCAGGGACCTGTCGTGAATTACCTACGGCGTAGGTATGCGCGACCTCGCGGTGTCAAACTTACGGAACTGCGGTGACCGCCCCACCACGCTGCCAGGACTACGAGTCCGTTTTGCTTTTCATATAAAAGTCACACCAGACCGATAATAGTATCAGTCACCTGCTCTGATTAACAACAAAATGTTCACTAAAGTAAGTTCGCTGTCAGGACTATTGGTCCGTTTGATATACAATGGAAAAACAACGGAAAATTAATTATTTACAGTAAAATAAATTCAGATTTGATTTAACGCCCTATTCGAGCATTTCCCGAGAATAATAATTTATTATATTTTCAATAATTTCATTTACATCCTTCTCCCAATTACCAATTAACTCCCTATTCAAACCAAACACGGTAATGTATACCGCTCTATTTGAGTCAGTCCCCAAAATATTCCTATTTTCAATAATTTTAATTATGTTCCACTACCTACATATTTAAGCAGATCCCATTCAGTTTTAGCAATTCATTCAATTTGGATATAACAAAATGACAACCACGAAGTTTCGCATAGTAAACCAATAACTCCCCTAAACTTAACGTTAAGGTTCATAACTCCTTAAATTCCAGGTGTTCGCCATCAGCGCTGTCCTAGCGGCCGCCAACGCGGGTCTGCTGCCAGTGCACCACGCCGCGGTGTCCTCCCAGAGCATAGTGCGCCATGACGCTCCCGTGCACTACGCCGCGCACTATGCGCCGGCGCACATCGCCACTGCGCACTACGTCCACGCCGCGCCCGTCGTCCACGCCGCCCCCATCGTCCACGCTGCCCCCCTCGTCCATGCTGCCCCCATCGCTCATGAATACGTAAGTAATAAAAAAACTTAATAATTGTGAGATATTATGTACTTTGTACAATTTGTTTCGCTAAAGAAAACTTGTCAGTTAAAAATCTAGAAATGAGTAGGTACCGTAATTGCGGGGTACTATAGCTCTAGCTAGGGGACAACTAAAGTTATAGTATCAAAGGATAACTTTGACTGAAATCGTGCGGGAAATGATGTCTACGATTTAAGTAAGTACATTGCATTCGAGCAACTTAGTACATCGAAAATAACTTATATTGTTTGAAATAAACTTCAACTTTGGAGCAACCTTTATGAATGAGTAGGTAAAAATGGTAGAATTAAAGTCGCTTATTCTCATGGTTACAAACATGTTTGTGTGTATTGTGGACTTTAAGTAGCTACAAAACTGAACAGCTCTACCGGGCACTACGCAACTTGCCGTAGTTCCACGCCCCTAATGACTTAGTTTCCCCCCACACATTGATTAAATGTTACGTAAATACTCTGTTGTAAGACAGGTCACAACGACATAGTATGAATTATTGCATTCCTATAACCCTAGGTTTGTCACTCTTTCAAACTAGATGCCGAAAGTGATTCATACCGGTCAAATCGGGTATACTTACGAGTATCCTAAGCCGAGAATTCTAAGGCACAAGTTCTCTAAAGAACATCGCTATAGTCCTGAAAACACTTTACTTCTCAAGTTAGTTTAAAATTAGATTTTGAGTTGCTTTTATAACGTAGGTATGTGGTTTGTTAAGTTGAGTTAGCAAATAGGTATGTGACGTCAACTGCCCATAAAGTTCAGATAAGTTTGACAAAAATACTGCCCCCGATAATTGAAAGGGCGCATCTAACACCAAATCGGAACGGAGATGAAAAGTTTCAATTATTTGAAAGTTTCAAATGGGTGATTCTTAGCTGTCCTTGAGTTTAACTCGTATCCGAAAAAAGTGTTAGATGCGCCCTTTCAACTATCAGGGGCAGAATAGTGCTCTAATAAAATACCGTTATTGTTCCACAGTCCCACCCCAAATACGACTACTCGTACTCCGTGGCTGACCCTCACACCGGCGACCACAAGTCCCAGCACGAGTCCCGCGACGGTGGCGCCGTGCACGGCAGCTACTCCCTCGTCGAGCCCGACGGCTCCGTCCGCAAGGTCGAGTACACCGCTGACGACCACCATGGGTAAATATACATTATTCTTTTACAAGAAAGAAAAAAAGTTTGATTCAGTGAGTCAAAAACAATATGGCTAAGTTGCACCATCTAAATTTAACTATAACAAACGGCAAAAGTCTGGCAAACTCCATACAAAAAACACCGGCTACGCGGCTTTGATTTTACTGTTAAAGTAAGATGGTGCGACTCGGCCTAATATTAGCAAAACCAATATGAAACTGAAAAGTCAAGTGCGTCACCAACATTCACTAAACTTGACGAGGTGTCGCAAAGTACACCACGACACTGGTCTTTCCTAGATTTCACCAAGAGCCAGTGGTATTTCATTAATGCTGTGTGCGATTTATGTATGACATTTGGGATCAAATTAACCTGCAACATATTTCGCTACGAAAAAGCAAAGCAATTCGCTCAGCAAATTAATTCCGAAGCGACCTTTTGCTTGCCAGGCCAATGCTCTTGTATTAAATTAGTTTTTCAACTACCTACTGAGCTTCTGATGTTGACATCTCTCAAAGTAAATTGCTGTACTTAATCAGCCATTGCAAAAAAAATAGTAACTTTAACTTCTAGTCTGTTCACCATAACAGTTAGGCATTTGTCCTGTAAGTTGTCACTCAATAATCGACCTTTGCATTATCTACATACCACTCAACAATCGACCTTCACTAATTAGCAACTCGGTTTATATTCCAGTTTCAACGCCGTAGTCCACAAGACCGCCGGCCACCACCCCGCGCCCGTTGCGCACGCGGCGCACTACGTCGCTCTCGCGCCCGCCCATGGGCATCATGGCCTCCACTACTAGACTATAATGCGCGCGTGCTATGACTGATGAATGTGATATTTAAGTGTACATATGATGATGAATATACTCATGTAAATAAATACTCAGCTGCTGAATATTTCTGTATTTTATTAAATCCTATACCTACTAATCTCAAACATCGAAAGAAAATTACTGGCATCCTAATTGGGTACCAATGTAAATCTTGAACACTGTGGCATTAGATATTAAAATAGGTTATGTGTCGTAGAGTAGATATTTAGGTAGGTATTGCATTCAAGTTAATCTTACATGCAAATCAAACACTTTCAAAACCATAAATGCTACACACATAACTAACAACAACCAGAGTAATAAATATGACAATGTTTAGACAAACTAAGACCATATTAACTAGCTAATAAACATGTTATGTAAGTATTTACATTATAATGCGAATACAATAACTCAGAAAGAGTTATTATAGCCAGTTTCAGCACGTTATTATTTGCTACGCGACTCACCGATGTACACCAAACAATAAAATGTCTAAATGTGTCTTCAGTCTCGGCATTCAACGACTTATTTATTTATCAAACTTACAAGTAATGTATCTGTTATACGATATAAAGAATAGATTCCCAGGAATCTTGAACATGGTCAATTTGTCAATATCCAAGGAGTCAATCAATCAATACTCATGCACGAGCAATTCATTGAACTCTACCCTTGAGTGGTTACAGTGGCGGATTTACAAATTTGCCGCTAGTAGGCCATTCAATTTTTGCCGCCCCTACCTACTGACTTTTGAAATTCAATACTTTAGTTTAATCCTGTTATTAATATGATTGTGAACTTAATGATATTTCTGTCAGTTACTAGATTATTATTGCAACCCGCTATGTAATGTAATGTTGACCTAAAACAGCAGTATGAACTAATCCTAAGGTGGGCAAAGGCATGACTTAAAAATACCTACACTATGAACACAGAGAAAATAATGTGTGGTTAGTAAACATTATTTTTGGTAAATATTTTTTATTGGACTTAACAGTTTAAAAACACTACAAACAATTTCTATTAAAAAAAAAAACATGTTAACAATTCAGTCTTTAATGGTGACAGACAATGAGATCAAATAAGTTTTACATTATTTTCTTGCGATATTTTAAATTTGCAAAATCATTAATTATATCGACGTATGAAATCTTTTTCATAGGTTCTGACTGTATGCACAAAAGAGATAAAGCATTAATAGGCCAGAAGAATTAGATTTTAAATCGGAAATAATTCCTACAAAAGATTTTATTGCTTTAAAATGGCTTCATTGGTTGCCCATGAAGACTTTCCTAGGTTTTCGACTTCGACGGAGTTGTGCTTAAGTGGTGGGGGCCCCCGAAAGGGGCGCTTTTTAGGTTTTCCGGTTATACCGCGTAAAGGACTTACCCTATCAAAAAGTGGTCCTTCTGACGGTTGAAGGGCATTTAATCTTGCATTAAATAAGACCAAATTCATATGTTTTGGACAAACCGTTCTCGTGCAAATGTTCGGCAAAGTAGAAAATATGTGTATAATTAATGACCCTCTCCACGTCCAATGGCTCGTCACCCGTAGGCTCCCAAGCCTTGTAAAGGATCGCCTTAACCAGCGTATCCCTGTCAAGGCTCACGAGTTGGATTCGCTTATCCTTGTTCGTCCCAGCCGTTCCTTAACTGCGGTTGCTGCACCTCTTCCTGGCACTCTCCTGAACGACTCCGTGTTACCTAATGTGGCTGCCCCTCTTCCTTGTACCCTCCTGTACGATTGCATTGCTTAGCCATATGCCTGGTCTAAGGTTCGACGCAAAAAAAAACAATTCGGAATGCGTTCGTCAGAATTACTTTGAAACCTATTTTCAATTTTTTGCCGAATGCTCAGCTTCAGTTGCTGCATGGTTGTTGGATTAAAAAAGTATACTCTATTCTTAATGTAACACCACAAAAAGTAATTTCCTGGAGTGAGATCAGGGCTTCCTGGTGACCAGGAGATGTCACTGAAATTATTTTTTTGTGGGAACATGTCTCTTACCATCTAAATGCTCTCAGTTGAAGTGTGACACGTAGCCCCATCTTGATGATACCAAGTGCTCCGGTCATAGCCTTGCAAATCTTGCAGCTTTGAAATCAAAAAGCTTTTCAGCCTACCAGTATAGCGCTCTCAAAAATTAATCATCCTTTCAATGCAACAAACCAATTAAGCAGTGGTGAAATCTCACTGCCTCTAAGAAGCGCTAATCTCATTCCAGCAGACTTCTTTTTGTGAGGTTGCCTTATGAGCAGAGAATACTCTAATAATCCAAAAAATCTGCAGCATTCATTCATCCTGAATCCATTTTGAGGTAACTCTAAAGCTTCAGCCTCGAATTTAGCGGGCAGCGGGGCGGCGGCGGTAGCGGCGCGGGAGCGGCAGGAGCCGCCGCTCCCGCCCTGCTGCCCGCTAAATTCGAGGCTGAGGCCTAAGGGCTCCTGCACACGACGCTGCCACCGCGCCGCCGCCGCGCCGTCGCCGCTCCGCTACACTGTTCATACGCACCGAGTAAAACCGCCGCCGCGCCGCCACCGCGCCAACAAAGCATAATTTCGCGCGTGGTGCGGCGGCGGCGCGGCGGCTGTCTTCACGCGGCGCGTATAAACAGTGCAAAGTCGCGGCGACGGCGCGGGGCGACGGCGTCGTGTGCAGGAGCGCTTACGAAAGTTTTCCAAAATGTTGATGTATGTTGACCGAATGTTGTAAACGTCAAGGGAATCACGTCATGTACGATAAAATTTATAAAAGATAGTAAATTTTAAAATAAATTGCACTAAATTTCCTTTAAATTGCAATAGCTTAAGTTCTACAAAAATGTACGGTTTTCGTTTCCTTGAATTTTCAAAAGTGAATTTTCTTCTGGGCTTCCCTGTAAAACAATACCTATACACGAAGTTGTGGAGAGATGGTGCTCGTGCTAGGCTCCGAAGATCCTGTGGTACTTAAGAGTTTTTTATTTTATTTTTATTGAAATCGTTTATTTATATATGGATTGTGTAGGTATACGTATAATTATTATTTTTTTCCTGCAAAAAAAAAATAGCTAAATTTGCCGCCCCTCTAAATCTGCCGCCCTAGGCACTGGCCTACTTGGCCTATTGGTAAATCCGCCACTGAGTGGTTAGTAGACAGTAGCCAGAACTAATTAAAGTTGGTTTACATCTGACGATACGTTGTGAGTACCTAATATTGCACTTTTAAAACAATTTAATTTCCATACCTACAAATAATAATATTATAATGTGTAAATGCGCAGTACCTCAAAGTGAACCTTTTAAGGCTGGGTTGCACCATCTTACTTTAACTTTGACAAACGTCAAAAATCTGTCAAACTCCATACAAAACCACCGGATATCATTATAGTTACGGTCAAAGTTAGGTGGTGCAACTCAGCCTTAGTATAAAAAAATATTTCAGCTTTAAACAAAAAATATTCTGTCTAATGTTTATTTTCAGTTACAGAATACTTTCTAAAATACTTTCTACTCCACTTGCTTAAAATTCTAAACGTAGTTAAGCTTTTCGCTCGCTATGCGTGAAGCTCGTATCCACCAAATATCGTACCAGTATCGTACAAAGTTGTAGTTTATACATCTAATTTTTGGGCTGTTTTATATCAAATTTTCGTTAAATCAGAAATATTATACTACTAGCGGCCGCCCGCGACTTCGTGCGCGTGGATCTCGTTTTACCCCCCCTTCATCTATCTTACGCGGTTCAGATTTTTTCATACAAATGTTTTTTCCCGCTAACTCCCGTTCCCGTGAGAATTTTGCAATATCCTGTTGTAACTAAGCTTTAAGTTTCGGCCGTTTGGTGTAGTGGTTCAGAACGGACTACTATGCCGATAGGTCCCGGGTTCGATTCCCGGCCGGGCAGAAATTGAAATGATGAATTTTAATTTCTGTGACGGGTCTGGGTGTAAATATGTATAAATAAATAAATAAATAATAAAATAAGACAGACAGACAGACAGACAGACAGACAGACAGACAGACAAAAATTTTACTGATTGCATTTTTGGCATCAGTAGGTATCGATCACTAATCACCCCCTGATAGTTATTTTGAAAATATATTTCATGTACAGAATTGACCTCTCTACAGATTTATTATAAGTATAGATAAAATGTTACCTACTAAACTTTTCTTGCAGGTCGTATTACTCAGCAGATGTAAATCGTCCTTAATGTGCGTAGACTCGTGGTTGCGTGCGTACAAGGCGCCCGCGCATACCGCAGCCATTTCGGCGGTAATTACCCGCATTGTATGAGGAATTACGCAAATTATTGTTACCTACGACGCGACGGCCTAGAAAAACTGACAATAAATAGACTGACATCGCACCAGTGAGTTTAATCGTGTCTTCGAAATTAATTAAGTACTTCAAAGAGACGCAACTACAGTAGGTATATCTATCGTACGAGTTTAAGTTACACTACACGAAACTCTACATTTTCTGACAGTTTCAGATCATTTTATTTTCTACTAAGCCCAATGGCCGATTTGTAAAGAATTTTATACTTAGTTACTTCTTAATACCTACATGTAATTACGAATTCATAATAATATGTTGTGTACATACGTACGCACATATTTTATGCATAAGTGAAGTTTTTACATTCAGTAAAAAATTAACATGGTTAACTATTACATATATTTAGATGCACCTACATCCTAGATTATTCCTGATCCTTGACAGATATCAATGCTCGCGCCAATAAATGGTTGCAAATAAAATAATTATAGGTAGTTAAGATTCAACATAATCCATAATAATATATTTTCATAAAAATAAGCTGTCTCTGACTGTGCTATGAAAACGCACAATTACCAGTAGATAAAGTAGGCCTACTTGTAAGTACATAGCAATCACCTTATTTGTCTCCATTCACACTTCCTTTGTATTAGTGTAATTTGTACAATAAACAACGTCAATTTAAACGCAATCACTGTAACGACTTGGAATTGCGAGCTTACAAACAAATAGGGACATTATGTGTAAATCGGTACATTATAAATTACACCATTGCCGTATGGTAGCATGTAGCGAACTAGCGATTGCCAAACCGTA